AACATACATGGCGAGACCCACGACACAATATGTCGCATACCAGAAATCCACGTCGCCGCCGTCCGCGCCGGTCGAAGGCGGGTACCACGGTGCCACGAGCATGTATAAGCTGGAGAGGATGGCGAAGCAGACGGTCGCGGTCCATGCTTGGTAGCCTGATGACGGGATGTTCAGACGCTGGCGGCGTTGTCGTGTGATGAGCAGCCCCACGGCGAGGAGGAGGTTGAATGCATTGCTGGGGTACACGGCCAGATCGACAACTATGAATGCCCACCGTTAGTTCGTCGTTCATACAATCGGCGAAGGGGGGGGGGGGGAAATTCCCGGTGGTAAAGAGCCGGTGCGTACCGAAGTTGAAGGCATCACCCGCAGGTGGGGCCAGGATCATGATGACGGTGAGGAACCACTTCACGAAGTATGGGCCAAGAGGGGTGCCGAAGGGGCGGGTCGAGGTCCAGAATGTGGTGAAGGGGAGAACACCTTGTCTAGCTCAGGCTGTCAGTGTGGGGTCCTGACCCAAAGGATGGAACAGTAACTGGCATACCTTCCGCATTCTCGGAGCACTCGCGATTGTCCGATGAGAACAGCTAGCAAGTTGCCCAGGGCACTGAGGCAGATGAGGAAGTTGAGAGCCCGTGATGCACCCGACGACCCGAAAACTTTCTCGAAGAAGAGACCAGCGGCGACCGTGCTTGAGTTCAGAATCTCGTCCTTGGTGGCAACGGAGAAGTACGCAATGTTTGCAAGCATGTACAAGACAGCGACCAAGAATAGTGAGGCTGGAGCGCTCCAGCTCATCGTTTTGGTCGGGTTCTAGTTAGTCATGTCAGTATATAGCGCTGAGCAGTCAGGGAGTAGGCCGCGCACCTTGACTTCGTTCGCCACATTGCATGCATTACTATAGCCAGCATACGAGAACATGACCTTGACCAGGGCATTCGTGGCACCATATACTGATGCTTCCGAAGTTCCGGAGAAAGCATCCCGAAAGTTGACGGTGGGATCCTTGACAGAAGTGTGTCCACCGAGAACTACGAGCCCGGTGATACCGATACTGGATGACGGTCAGTCTTTCACGCAGATACACGAGGGTTGGTTGAACCTACAATATCAGCGTGATAGTCTTGACGAATCCGATGGCATCGGTCAGTCGAAGTGACCATTTCGTGTTGAAGGCCAGCACTGATCCCAAGGTTAGGGGAGAATGGTAGGGAAGCTAGTCTTGGGATAACTAACACAGGACGGCAACTGTGTATGCAGCCACTGCGACGCCTTTCTGCATCCATGCGGTTGAGTCCACATTGGCGAGCTTGAAGAGATAGTTGGCCAGCACTGCAGAGATCATGAGCCATTGCGCCTGAAAGGTCCTCTGTGAAGGGACCTACCGACAGCGTTGCTACTAGCAAAAGAGAAAAGAACAGTCTGCATGGCGAAGACGGTAGGAAAGAAGTATTTCGGTCGTGGGTATGACTGTTCGAGGTACACCACTTCGGAGCCGGACCGACTCGGGAAATATGATAGGAACTCGAGGTAAACTCCAAGCATGCTACCGGCCATGACATAGCCAATCACCCAGTAGAACAAAGCGAGGCCCACTGAGCCGGCTCCGGAGAGAACTGTTGCAGCTATAACGTTGTTAGCTGAGATTCAAGGAGTAGTAGTGGCATTGTCAACATACGAGTCGAGAATACACCGGTCCCAATCATTTGGTTCAGGTTGAGGCCAATCACCGTCACCGCGCCTACAGAGTACCCCAAGGGAGACTTCGTCTCGATAGGAGCACCGCTGGCTTCTTGATAGGTCAACTTGGAAGAATTGGCCCCCCCGGCAGCAGTATATTGTAGGTTGCCATCGTCGATGACGCTGAATACATCAGAGCGTTCATCGGCCTCGATGTCTGCCGACTTGGTGAATATATTGAAACCCATGATTCGATCAACCTGGATCAAGATGGCAATCAGGACGGACCTTTGGCTCACATCTTGTCTATGATGGGGCAATTGTAGTTATTAAATCTGCATGATTGAGAGGGAGAGGAGGTGGCGGCGATGCTATCTACACGGTGCTCATTGTAGAATCTGATGACGCGATTGCTTGGATGCGCTCATCTTGCATGGTCCAATTGAAGGCGACATGCTCGAGTAAATGAGGTGCTTGAACTAAGAACGCGGGGAAAGAAAGCTGAGTGGGTTGACGTCGGCAATTCAGAAGCTGGATATCGGGCCGCGTCGATCTGCTTGATTCCAGGCACCAGGCACACTTAGGGCTCGGTTCCGAAGGCTTGCGAGCCAGCAAATCTCGAGTATATGAGGGGGGTGGAGGTATCAATTGAGGATACACAACAATAGTACTCTGTCTAAGGCATGCGATGTTGAGTAGCCAGGCTTTTCATGATCCTTGTGGCGATGAGTGTTTATGTTCGTGGTAAGAGAATGTTGATTGCACGATCGCAGGGGCCGATGACAGCATTCAACGCTAAGTCGCGCAAGCGCTTGCTTGATTGATCGCTGCTGTCGCCATCCACATCTTATTTTTGAACGATGCATCAAAGCGGCATGCCAAGGTCATATCTCTGATAAGCGAACTTTGACATGATATTTATGTATATCGTAATCGTGGCGGATTGGTTCCGAGCTGTGTGCTCCGTCACTGGCAGCCCGCCCACGACAACGCTGTCAAGATGTCGATATCTGGAGCACGCTAGGAAACTCTAGCCATGATCGCGCTGAAATTGGTCTAAGCGAGAGATCCAGCCACTTCAAATAGCTCGTGAGCCTCGGAGATTTGTTGAACTAAACGATGGTCAGGTGATTCAAGCATAAACGCACTCGTCAAGGTTTCCTTGATTGGTATCGGCCGTGCAGGTGTTCTAGCCCAAGTTGACGAAATCCCTATCGCCTATCAGCAATTTCTACATCATTAGAATTAGCCACATAGTATAAGTATAGTGCCTCTCAATATACCCTAGTTCCTGCATTTGTTTTTGAGTCGACATTCAGCCTTGAATGTCTATCACCAATGGGAATCGAGATCAGAGATCCACGTACATCGCGATTGAGGCCCATAGCAGTCCGTGTTCTATATCAGTGAGAACCCTCGTGGAAAGTGCTGTAGAATCTGGTCCACAGGTGATGAGCATCTCACATCTCAGAGTGGTTCTTTTATCATGGACATCTCCAGGCGAAGTCGCTATTCCCTAAGATTCGCAATCAGCATAACCAAGTACCTTTGCACAGGTTGCAATTCGACCTTTAGATGGAAAGGAGACCAACACAATCCTTATTCCGTGAAACGCATCAGCACCCACCAACCCAAAAACCAAACCCGTGTCGACCTACCACACAATCCGTAGATCACCTGAATCAGCCTCACAGCCAACGCAAACAAGCGAAGAACCCACCACACCACCAAACAATAGAGTAGTGTATGCACCCGTGAAGAAAAGTAGTCACACGGGGCCAATAAATACCCGCTGTATCCCGGACGGTCACATTCGAGACGCCTGCCCCCCATAGATGCGGACAGCACCCAAACCTAGACTGCTCCAAATGCGGCATCAGGGAAGCGCATCTCCTGGCTCCGACACTGACATACTTTGCTTTTCTGTTCTGGTCCGCTTTGTCATGCCATGCCTGCAGGTTGACAACGTGAAGTGGAACCACAGGCGACAGGTGGTAAGCACAGGCGACAGGTGGTAAGCACCCAGTGGGGGTTTTCTCCGAGTCCACGTCCCCGGAAAGGAGGTCGTTCCTTCACTTCCGGTCTGCAGGTGGATACGTGGTCCCGTATATAGCCATGGAGCGTGACCGGGTCAGTTGGGGGAGAACTGATTTGGTGGTTCAATGATGTTGCAAGTCTTCAGAAGGGGGGGCTTGGATCTCGTAGGCTGCGATGACAACGGTCAGAGATGTCATTTGTAACGAAGCGTAGGGAGAGTTTAAATGCATATAATGTGGAGGATGGGCTGACTCTTGACTGGGATGGGTATCAACTCAAATCACGTAGTGAAATCCGTGGCGGAGACTGCGCCAACATTTCAGGGGGTTTGGCCACGAAATCCACCGTGGAGAGCAAGTGATCTAGTGCGTGTCTGCACATATGTTGAGTGACCAATCAGTACTTGGGAGTCATGAAGCAAACATGCATGCTGAGGACAAATGCAGGCTCAGGAACAGGGGGGTGATATGTGCGATTCCGGTCACCTTTGAAATCGATTCTCCCACGAGCGAACCGGACCCGGTTAATTGCCTGGTGCTACAAGGGGACTATGAAGGATCTCTAGCTTAGAACACCTTGCTTGCCATCTGATTGGGTGTATACTCCGAGTCTTTGTTTGTAGAAAAGTGGAAACGGAGTGGATGATCATCACAGGCAAGTGGACCGAAGAGTGCCTATAAGGATAACATCTGCCGGACGCTAGATGGAAGAAAGACAGTGCCGTGTTCTTCCTGGTAGGGTAGTAGAATAGAGAAAAGAGCCGACAGGTCCCGTGACGATGACTCTCACCGGACAATGGAGGAAGATCTCCAGAGTCCATAGCTCTATCAAACATGGATTCTGTCAGATGTCGATTCCACCCGGTACTCCAAGATGAAGATCTCACCGTGGGGAAGAGAAAGCATTCTAAAGAACCTTGATCAAACATACAAAATGCGCTCTTCATCCGGTCCGGTGAGGCCGCGTTGAAAAGTGCACGCTCTCGGTCTCGGTATACAGGTGGAAACGTGAGCCTCAGATCCGCAACTGGACTACTAGGATATAAGAGACTGTATGATCGGGGAATATCAGCTATGCGCGACGTGTGGATTGGGTGCCAACATCGTTGACACATATCAAAATTCAAAACTTCTACCAAAGCACCCCACACTCATATTAAGGATCTGTCCAGCAGCACATTAGCACCGGCGTCTACATAGCCTGGCATATAATCCAACTAAGGTACAATAGATCTTTTCCTTCCCCCCCCCCCCCCCGCCCCCCAAATGCAGCAATGCAGTAACCGTGGATGTTGAAATGCTTGGAATCCCACAACGCCGTCTATCACAATGAAACCGAGTAATCAGAAACCATGGAGTGTATCTTGAGAGAATGACTGCAACACGCTATGCGTCGAACAACAGAATATAGGAAACATACTATCAAGAGTAGTTCAATCATGCCGCTCCAGAGAAATACAAAGGAAAAAAATGGGTCGTAGCTAGACGAGCGACGCTCTTGCGCTGGAAGTCAAAGATGCTGAGTTGCGAGAACACATAGGAAATAAAGGAAAGAGAAAAATGATGAATATTTGAACAGAAATATGAGAAAGATCGTAAGCGAGAACGAAGCATATCACAAAAGAAAGTGTGCGTCATGATCGTCTCTGTTGCAGGCCCGCTACAAGCCGAGCCTCCTCAGATCAAGCTATCTGAAAACGGAAGTAGAATTGTTGTCTGAGGGACGACATGATAACAGTTTTTAGTCATTGACCATGTCATCCAAGGCCATTTTTCTCCGCTTAGCTGGCCTTGAATCTTGTGAATGAGCTTCAGCCGCAGATTGCTCCGTTTGTGCTTGTGAAGGGGACAATTGTAGCGATTGTCCTTCTGTACCAGGAATCATAGATCCCAAGTGTCGTAATGCTGGATCGACGTATCCTGAATCGGATCCTCCCGGACGCATTTGGCTGTTTGGTGAAATCGGCTCGATATATCCGTGGGATGGCATATGTTGTCGATGTTCCTGTGGCAAGTAGTCCTCTCGCATGGGCGACGACCATACTGCGGGGTATGGGTCACTGCTTAAGCGATGGCCTTGCGACACATGAGCCGGTGTTCCCATCGTTGGCGCGTAGATCGGGGGAAGCCTGACCGGCGACTCGCCGTACCCTTCACGAGGATCCCTTCCTCCTGGCATTTCCCCCATCGGCATTCGATTTGCCATTCTCGTGGTCTCCGCATAAGGTGACATCGGAGTAAATTGTTGTTGGTATTGCGGCGGGGTCGTCGCAGGATTCAAAGCTTGGTGGGTATAAGAGGACAAATGCCTTCCAGCTCCCGTAGGCATGCGACTCATTCCTACCGCGGGATTGTACCCAGCAGGCATCGGCACATAGGTGGGCGGTGATGTTGTCGTCATCGACTGAACTGATCCAGAGGAGGAAAATCTCCGATGACCGATGCTTCTTTGCATGGTCATGGCAGGATCCAGGGCGTGAGGATACATCGAAGCAGACCACCGGTGCGGATGTCCCGACGAGGCCCTCATGGCCATTGCTCCTGCTTGACCTCCCATCATTTGCAAATCTGTCACGGGGCGTATTTCCCGCGAGGAGGTTGCTCGATGCATGTGTGTCCGTCTCGAGTGAGAGCCATGATGCTCCCCAGCAGTTGCTCGATCCAAGTGCGCGGCATACGTTCTGAGGGATGCTTCTTCTGCCTTCAGCGGCGGTCGCCCTCGCTTCTTATGCGTGACATCTACACATGTAGCCTACCGAGAGATTAGCACATCTATCTCCATTCAGTATCACGGTGCAAGCTCCAGGCTGGCATGTGGGATCGATGCAACAAGAGCGGGCAAATTCTCCCAGAGTGATTAGGCGAGAATCCCCTTCCACACTTACCTCTTTTCCTGACAGGACGCATCTCCGACATGGCCGCGCTGGATCACAGCCCAAATGCTTCTTTTTGCAGTTCACGCACGCTGATGCGACATGCGCTTTTGTGCGTCTCGTCGGTTTCTGCGGTAGTGGTCGGGTAGAGGTCTCCGGAGGTGACGATCCGAACGAAGGCTGGGCGTAGGCAACCACCGAAGGCTGCGATAAAGGTTGAGCTCCGAGCGAAGGTGGGAGTCGTGTCGAAGCGAATGCATCGCTAACACCGAGCGGTTGCCGTATCACTTCCTCCCCGGGCGCGGAAACTATGCGCTGCACCACCGGTTCCGAAACAGCTCCAGCGCCCGCGAGCCCCGACGGGAGATGAGAGCCAGAAACAACAATAGGTGTCGTCGTCGGCGCTGTTACGTTCGCGGTTGATACTGGTTGGAAGAGCTCCGGATGCCCGGGGCGCCTCGCGGTCCCAGAAGTCTCCAGCGAGTCTTCTGCTGGGACCGGACCGGACATAGAGCGAGGGGGCGGTAAATCCCGAGGAGTGTACCGTCCAGCATTTGTCGATCGACGGAGATTGAACGAAAGCCGCTCTTGGCCTGGGGTTAACCTTGGATGACCGAACTCTGTAGAGATGTAGGAAGAAGGGGGAAGGACGAGTGATTGCATCTGGTAATACTGGGTCCCTGGATTGACAAAAGAGCCACTGTTCACAAAAGTAAAGGGACGCTGTTCGGATTCACTGTTGAGATAAGCAACATATCCGACATTAAAAAGGGTCCTCAGTTGTATGATCGAAGACGGTGTGTTGTTCAGTCGCCAGTCATCGTTGAAACTCCACACTTGCAGGCAGAGGGGCCACAGGAGCTTATAATCAGTTAGTCCAGGTTCACGATTGGAGGAGTCACAAAGTAGGATACGTCGATCAGTAGTAGATAGCAAGATCGTGACAGCGGTTTTCCATGGCTTCGATGGTCCCCATCTTGGGGTGATTTATTGCAGCATGGCGGGCGATCACTGGAGCCCAAGGAAATGCACAGAACGACAGGAAAAGCAATAATCATGGAATGGATTCGAAAATAAAATACAACATTTTGTACCTTACCTTTCAGTAACGAACAAGAACCTTCTTTTTGTTTTTGTGACGGCTCTTGCTTTCTGGCTTATGATTTTTTCTTTCTTCTTCCTTTTTTGCGATGACCAACTTGACCGGAGTATCTCTTTCTACTGCATCATATAAGATTCAAGGACGGAGTATGAACTGGCTCAATCACATCCGACGGTAGATGCGGGAATCGGTGAGTGAGCTGGTATGTGGTGAACTATACCGGAAAGTGAGGCGTATAGATCCGGTGAGATCACACTCCCTCTTCCCCAAGAGGAAGTGAGTATGGGAGACTCGGGAGTGAGTCTGAGGGAAATAGAAAGATCGAAGAGGGAATATGAACCCACGACGAAAGCGAATAGGAAGTTTTTCTCCAGTGTCCAGATCAGAGGTGCAGCTGGTCAACGGGCCCAGGAGGTCTGCACTGCACTTGAACAGATAGATAGACAGACAGACAGTCAGTCAGTCAACTGGATCGAAGGCAGTTCAGTCACCCTAAAGAGGGAAGGACCCAGAGGGATGTGACGGGTGTAAAGATCCCAGTTCCTCATCGTAGGTTACGGCAAGGCTTATACCTATTTTTTATTCCTATTTATTGCCCTCTTGAAGTGAAGGGACCCTGCTTGCTTGGTTGGCTGACAATAGAGGAGAGGTTGAGGGTGGGTAATGGGTGCCCAGTGCAACACCGACTAGCAGCCGATAGACTACTTGATCTTCATTGATGGGAAGATCTGAATGGGGAATCTCTGGCTCCGTGTTCTCTGGAAGCATGTCAGTATGTACGGGAGTAGATTTGGGGGGAGGATCAGGAGAACGAGTGGTCCCAATCCTCCGGAGAGTTGAGACGCGGGTTTGTCATAAAACCCCCATTTTCCAGATAGCTTCACCAGCCTGACAATGGGATGGACCCATTTTTTGCATTTGGGGGATTTTCCTTTTTCTTTTCTGTTTGCAACTTTCTTGTTTTTGTCCTTATTTTTTCTATCTTTTTCTGTTTTGTCAATGCTCTGGCCGACAGCTACTTCTGCTGTCTTTTTGTCGGTGATTCGGGATCTCGAGCATTATTTTGGTTTGGAATTTAGATTTTTTGGTAAATATTGTTTTTGAATTAAAAACAATCTTTATTTTCTTCGAATAAAAATGATTCGAGTTCTTCCCTGTTCTGAGGGGGGGAAAGATTTCATTTGTTCTAACCAGCTGGCTGGGTCAAAAGCAGTGGCCTGCATCAGATGGTTGATGGGGACTGGATGCCGCTGTCAGTGACACAGGCCCGAAAATGATTCAATTCAAGTTGTTTTAGAGATTTTCCCAAAATGGAAAGCAAGTGGGAGTCGTGCCAGTGCCAGCCAGGTGCAGCCTGCTGTGCGGTGGGAGAGAGAACATAAAGAGAATACGTAGTAGTAAGTATTAGTTAGTAGGTGTGAGCAGAGTGACTGGAGTGGGCAGTGTGGTCCCAGCCTGGAAAGACTAAACCAGAATTCGATTTTTATTTTTATTTTATTTTCCTTCTTGGGAGTATTTTTTGTCTATAATTTTTCTGGGAATTACCTTTTCTGGTTATATCTCGTCCTCTCCAGTACTTGGTAGTTCAGCAATGATGCCAATCAGAAGCAGCGGAAGCAAGGCGAGAAAAGTGAATGGTTGAATGATAGAGAGAAGAAGTCTGACTGACTGAGCCCCACTCAGACTTCCCTTCCCCCCCCCCCCCCAAAAAAAGTTGGCGACGGATCGACATCGGCGCCCATCCGCTGCAGCCATTGCCAATAGTCCCGCTTCGGTAGGGATGGGTGGAGAAACAGGAATAGGAAAGGGAAGTTGACACGCGCGACCGATCAAGGCATAAATGGAGAACTCGTCACCCAGCAGCTGTCCTCCGTAGTCTGTACCATAGTATCCATGATTATTTTAAGCTCGTCCGGCATTCACATTGGACGGATAATTCCTGTCATTGTGTAACCCCTTTCTCATCCTTTTCCCATATGGCTTTTTGTGGTCGCAGTCCAGACCGCAATGCTAACTACAGGTACATACAGTCGTAGTAGTACTGTACCTGTTTCGCTCTTCCTTTCGTCTCAGCTCTTCCTCCATACTAGTATTACCGCTGGATGCCAATAAGTTATGCGCTGGACTCGCGAGACGTTTCTGCTCACTCGCCCTTAAGTTCAATATGTGCTGTATGTAAGTTACTGTACTCTACTGTACCTCGGCACTCGGACTATCCGGGTTCGAGAGAAAGAAGCATAAAGTAGAAAATACTAGTAATGCATGCATTTTGGCACGGAACAGGCCATTTCAAAATTAGTTGAGACTTGAATGGAGAGGATAAAGAACGTGGTAGTTTTGTGAACTGCTCCAGTAATTCAATTACCGTTTCTTTTTCCGCTGGTCTGTAGGGCCATGAGACTCGCACTCACACACATACCGGTACTGCAATTTCTGTACTCAAAGCATGCATTATTGGGGATCTTTTGGGCCAATGGCGAGTCTTTCATTCCTCCTAGTACATTTTACCTTACTTTCTGCTTCGGTATTTTATGTTGGCGATATACTCTCAATTTACTCCGCATTGTTCCCTTTGAACGGATCCGGTCGTAGATGATTGCGGTTAAGGAGTAAGTAGAGTTGGAAATAGCTCCCGAGGCCCGCCCCATTCTTGTCAAACCGCCTAGGGCGGAGGAGGAGATATTGAACGCATGGCTGATGGACGCCGGTTTAGTCACCGAATGCCATGCGGACTTGTACGATGACATCAATGCCCCTTCCTCATTCTAGTTGCATACTCGTAGGCCGGTATGTCTACTATTGTCTAGAGCCAACAAGTGCAAGTGTCATACTACTCCGTAAACTACTCTATAAGCGCAAAAGAATCGCTCTGGTATAGGGATCATCTAACGGAAAGCTTCACTCGATCAGGGCGATATCTTGCCCTATCATGATGATGGAGGGGCAGGCCGCTACATCAATAGCCCGAATGGTCCCGAATGAAAGCCAGTAATTCTCCGGCTTGACACTACGATGGCTTACGGCGCTATGTTGGGTCCCACCCGGAAATGCCATTGGGGCTAACGGGAGTGTGTCCGACAACTGTGAAGGCTAGAATGGATGTCTTCGTACGTGCCACCCAAATGGATCCCAGTGTGCAACAGTTTGGCCGGTCGGCTCTTGGGATCAGGTGCAAGATCGCCACCACCTCCTAAACCTACGCATTGAATTCCCGAACCTTTGCCGTTGGTCGTGCTATAAGTGGTGAGCAACCTGCTACCTTGCAGGCTAACTTGTCGTTGGAGATACTCCGCGACCTGATTCAAGCACGGAGATATTGCTTGTATCCGTGCAAAGGGGAAACGTGCGGAAAAGCATAAACGGGGCGGATCTCCAACGGGGAATAGACCATTGTCCAAGCCAGTGAAAGAGCGTAAGGAGTCGATATACGATAAATTCGATACAGGGTCCTATTGCCCGTTGCGAGGGAGTTGGCCTTAGGAATTAGATCCCTACCAATTGTCCAACAAGATGGTTAGTGGAACAGACAGTTAAGCCTAGTCCAATAATCTCAGATGCGGTAGTTTCGCATGAACACGACTCATGAATGGCCCGTCTGATAAGGAGAGTGTGACCCACCATGCTCTTGAGTGCCAGATGAGCATCACGAGTAACTCACTGGCATTCCGTAACGGCTTTCCCTAGCGTGAGAGGGAGCCGAAGCCATTGTACCCGACACTTGCTGCTTTATGGAGTCTATGATCTTATTCGGATGGATCAAAGCTTTGGTTTATTTCCCGCGGCCTCGCTTATTGGATAAGTTTGAGCCGGCCGGCTTGTCCTGGGCCATGACTATTGATTCCCGTCAAGAATAACGGGAGCCACTGCGGGGATCTTCGTGTCGTAAACCCCCCAGGCTACAATATGACAACACTGGCTCGTCTCCCCGTCCTCTGCGAAGTATGGACCTTCAATCGAAAAGGGATATCGCGTCCTGTAACTGCACCGAGACCACTTGGAATTGGGGCAAAATGGCGTAAGCTGGACGAATGAGGATCGTGTATGAGAGTCATAGCCCCATCAGTATGCGTAGTCCGTACAAAGTCGGGAAAAGAAACCGCAGGAAGCAATGAACTTACCTCGATAAACGAAGGGCCAGCAAGGGATCCATGATCCAACAGTTCACACTGGGCATGCGCTAACAACTCGCGGGACAGTTGTTAGTTTAGTTAGTACATCCAAACCGGCAAAAGCGTTCGGCCTAATTCGAGCTTTGAAGCGACAGCACGATCTGCCCCCGGCAGGCATCAATAGTTCGAGCGACCGGCCCCAGGGACTAAAACCTCAATGGGTAAGGGCTGGAGAGATCCAGGACGGATCATGCGGCTTGCGGATGAGACGCGTACGGAAAGATACTACTATGTCTCCGTACTGTAGCTTGGTCGTTGGCATATTGATAGTCGATGATAGTCCCCGCAATTCCTCATGGCACTAGTAGTAGCTAAGGTCAGTGAACCTGCTTCTCCGTGTCACCCAAGCGCCCATTGAGGTCTGACAATTGCGGCAATCGATATGGAGAGGAATACGGAGTACTGTACAGTACATACTGTACATACCATTAGTGTACCGTCTAAGCGTCTGGAAAGGGGGCACATCAAGGTGCTCCTCTGCACGGGAAGAAGAGAGTCAATAATGGAGAGGGAATGATGGAAATGCAAATGGATAGAACTGGGCACCTTAGTACAGTAGGTACGGAGTACATTGCAGTTCGTTCAGTTTAGTCCCGAGTCCCCTGTGAGTCTAAAGCAATTGAGTCGATCAGCCTTTTGCCCAAGATAGTCTAGCGCGGTCAGGAGAACGATGAACCGTTTTGGGAAACACGCAGCGCCCCTCACAGGGAAACGATTGGCAGGCCGCGGGCGGTGGTATTTGTCAACCCCGTTCAGGTTCGAGGCTCAAACAGACTATCGCTTGGACTACTTGGACTACTGACGCCGCACTGCGAACTAACTCGACTCTAATAATAAGACCGATGCTATACCTCATCCTGGACATCCCCGAGTATCGAGGTGATCCTTCTTCGTTCCAAATCGTTCGACCGACGGTCATGCAATATCTAAGCTCCGTGCTTTACGGTCCTCACGGTGTGACCATAATCTACCGCGATCAATAGTCCATCGCCAGCTCCCTTGTTCCGTTACGGGCTCAATATCCCGTATGGCAGATCGGATCGCATGGAACGGTACTCGGAAAGAGAACCGGAAGCCTGACGAGGGTCACGTCAACAAAGGAGAACAACTGCGGGTGGTCATCGCTCCAGGAGACCAATATGGTAGCACATCCGTGATCCTACAGCTTCTCCTAGTGGATATTCCGGCTACAACCTAATATCAAGTAAATTTTCCGAGAAAGGCTCTTCCGAGACAGTTCAGGCTAGTGTTATTGACACGAGGGAATTGTGCACGGTAGACGTCCGATAGCCACATTAACGGTGCAGCCGGAGGCTTTTGCGTCTAGACTGCTTTATTGCCATGCCATCATGGCCCTCGGTAGTGCCGACCTCCCTGATAGACTCTCTTCACGATGCATTTTTCCACATGGAGGCATCTTCGGTGGTTCAGTCGCTTAACACGTCGTTGGTAGCCACATCATGAACATCCGTCTACCGTGCCCGACTTGAGGCTTGATCCAGTGTGGCCCTCGCATCGATAAATATAGTGGCGTGAGCCTGGGCGTTAGAAGCGACAGTTGTACTCGGAGCCTATGTGCCCAGATCCGGAGTTCAGCCATATCGCTATAAGGTCACGAAGGCTAGGAAGCTCATTATCCGACGACCTGAAGATGGTTGGCCCAGGGTGCATACATTGAGCCGCATTTAAGTTATAACACGGTGAACTGCCACGGGCCTCGGCAGCTAATCCATGCCCCATGATACTTCTCGCGCCAAGGTACGTGATGAGTGTCTGGGCAGTGTTATGCCTGGAAGCGCCCTTTGCGAGGGAGCCCGGAAAGAGGTCGCTTGGGGGGGAAATACGCAGAGCCACTGCTATCCAGAAAATCCCCGTTCTGCACCGGACGATCTCGTTTAACGACGTCTCCCGGTGCTTCGTAAATCAGGAACCAATAGGCATTGGGTAATCCCCGACGCCACGAATCAACGGTCTTTGGGCGCTCGCATATCTTACAACCGTGGTCTACGGGTGACTCCAAGTGTCCCTTGGCAATGTCCTGCTGCTCGCAGGCTTGACCAAGGGGCAACACTTGCTTTCTCTATAGCGTCTATGCACATGAGGTGACTTGTGGGCAAGCGCACTTACTGTACTACCCCCATTGAGCGCTGACATTCCAGCAACATTCAATTAAACCTGTGAACTGGTCAATGGATTAGTATCAGTGCTAGGGGCGCGGTTCACCTTTGCCTTTGCAGAGGTCGCTTTAGGAAAGGTCACTTAATCCGCACCGACTTGGGACTCATGCATGATCACTGCATCAATGGTATTGTCGTTGGTTAAACCGGTATGCAGGGAGTTCTAAATGCATCAGCAACCACTGTATGACGAACGTTAAGTCTGCGGTCTGCAACCTGCACTACGGAATGACCAGTCATCTGCATGGGGCAACTCAGATGGCGGAGCCTGGGATAGGCATTTCGCTTGGTCCAGAGTCGGTGAGGATGTGACAAGTCTCTTCACAGAAGTTCAAGCGGCTTCCATGGTTTCCTCCTCGATTCACCATCTTTTTCCGTCTCCTTCAAGACACCCGGTGAAAAAGGAACTGTAACCCTACTCCGGGACGGTCCGAGTATGAAGAATCCCATAATATGATCGTTCCGAATATGGAAGACAAGCAGTACAATAATTGACCATGGAGAAGATTATTTATCTACGAACTTGCATGGTATCACAGGAATAAATGTCTCCATGATCCCGACGGGGCGTTTCTTATCTCTACGGGAAAAGGTGGTGTCAGATTCGTCGTTGCTTACAGTGATCTTCCTTATCCGTCATCCCCATTCGGCTGCTCAAGACAAGATCTAAGAAATGATATTCTGGGACCGATGCACGCTGCTTGAGTTGGGACTTTAGACTGAAGCTTCAGAAAGTCGCAGTGCCATCATTTCCGTATATCCTACCGATTTGGTGCCGATGCAACTGCAACGACGCCTGCATCCAAGGCACGGCATAAATTGGTGCGCGCAGAAACTTTCTCTGTTGCGACTCATCTGACTGGATGGTCCACCGGCTGAATTTACACGGGCATTGTGTCGGTATGCAGCGGTGATCAGTGCATGATCGTCTGTTCTGTGGAGGGTAAGCTTGGATCCAGCATTAACTTTTGCCTAGTATTCATTACAGCCGGACTTGGCAATGCAGTGCTACCATCCCAGTGGATGTGCATGCTAGAGAGTGAGGAGCTTCCTCGTTCCCTGCCTATGCTATCGAGGTAACGGCTTGTGATTATCTCTTCAACATGGCGCTTCAATGAGAGAACGCGCACCGGAGGGCGAGCAGCTTGAATACTCTTAGAGTATCTGTTGCAAACCAGAGACTTGGAGGTGCTCGTCCACAGGGCATTGCAGGCACCGTGCCAGTCCTCGGTGTTTTCGGGTTTTCTGCGTACATTTGCTTCAATCTCCCAACGGATGCTACGGGACAAAGAATGTCGGTGGTCAGCAGGATCCTAAGCAAGGACTCTCGGCTCCGAGGGACTCTGGCGCATACTGACGGCTGGCTGCGCCTTTGCTGTTGCTGGTGACTCGGTGCGAACTCTAACCTGCCGACCATGCGCGGTGTGTACAGTCGGGCAGCCTACAGTACCGCGATTATTGTCACAGTAGATCATCTCTTGTGGTACCATGGAGAGTTTCTTGGGCCCGCAGGACGGACCACCGGGTGACTTCATCGGCGATGACTCTAGTGGAGCGGATGACAACGAGGTCGATTCTCCTACCGTGTCGAGGTCATCTCTTTTACTTGGTAGCATGCATCTTCTCCGATGCATGCAATTGGCCTGGGACTGGGATCAGGTGCCGACCTTGTCTGGCCTTTGCTTGCCAACACGGACCTGTGAAGCGGTATTTGCAAAACACAGGGTTGGCGTACGGTATCGACCTGTATAGAGGCTGATATCGTGGCTACCTTATGTGAGATGAGGCGTGCCGCTCTAATTCTGGTGCTCATTCATACTGGAGTAGGGTCATTGCCGTGGTAGGGTCATTGCTGCCTGCGCAGTGCACAGATTGAACTGTAAGGTTTGCTGTCATGAAGCTGCTGTGACGACTTTCTATGAGCTCCTTAAGGTGCCATTTCGTCAGCGATTGCTGCGACGCGTAAGAATATACAATGCGAGAGATCAATTATTGCAGTAATCACGTCACAACAATGGCTCACAAACATGTGGCAGGAGGGAGATTCTCTGAAGGGGCCGAAGCACAAGAAGCAAAAAAAGAGCAAAAAGCAATGACCAGACTGGGGCTCGATCCCAGGACCTTATCGGTGTTAACGATACGTGATAACCAACTACACCATCCGGCCAATTGATATATGGAAGCTATTAGTAACGCATCATGGCCTAGATCAAGAATCCGAAAAGTAAATCTTATCATCTTCTCAAGCATTCAAGCATCAAATACCTTACTGAATCTATCAATTGCAACCGCCTTTGTCCAGATGGCATTGCGAGGTGCAAGTGTGACGCTGCAACCTCTTATCGAATCTCTCCAACGTGCACGGGCCTAGATCACCAACTCAACCATCATCTCATAGCAATCTCTGGATTTACTTTGACTCAACCATGGATGCCGCCAACAGATGAAACTATATTTGCCAATCTGCGGAGAACCTCGGCTCAAATGGCCGAGACTCGAGTACTTCCATCAACACGAACTCGTATCAATTTCTCAACCTCAAAGAAAACCAGCTCCGCATTCATCAATGGACCCATTTACCAGCTACCAGCTACCAGCTACCAGCCACCAGCTGCGCTGCGCCCCTCGGCTACCCATGATTCTGTTTGAGATGGGAGCTGAGCACCCCACCCACCGACCTGACCACCATCCCCTCCCAAATATACGACAACTTACCGGTAGTATCCCGACCCACTGCAAAGCATCCCACAAGGTAGGTCGATCCACGACAAAAGCACCAGACACGATCCCCGTGGCCTGACCTGCACATCAGCCAGGGGAGTCTCGCCACCAGGAGCAAATAACCATTGCCAAGCAAGTTAGACGGTAGACTTATCTTTAAGATTGTCTCTACCGTCAGTCAGCTGAGTGAGCACTAGGCCACAGCCTCACTGGGTCCCCGCCGATGACTACTAACTAATCCGACAGGATGCAGCTGAGATGCATTCCTGCACCCAGCTCAGCTACCTACCTATATTAACCAGTCATCCCCCGGTTTCTCAGCCTCTCTTCTTCAAGAATTCACACACCACAGCTTAAACTCACAACAGACAAGACACAATGGTCCAACCTCTGGAGATCCGGTTCCTCGGTGAGTTTACCCCCCGCCCTTCGGGCTATACTTCCACGAGAGATCTACAGAACTAACGGGGAGACGGATAGTAACCGACCCCAACGCATGGAGTGTACGCACCTATTCCCCTCCCCTCCTCAATGCACCCTGTCCGCCCTTCGAATCTAACAGAAAGTAGATAATCACCATCGCCGAGGAACTCGCAATCCCATATACAATCCACACCCACCAAAATCCGTCACATCGCTCACCAAATATCATCCCATCGACCCCAGAGCTCCCAAGTAAGTAACCCTCGGCAGTCCTACCCTACCTACCCCAGATAACCCACCCTCTCCAAAGCCCCTCCCCGAGCTCCCCACGCACACCCAATAGCTAACGAATCACCCCCAAAATAGCCCTCACAGACCCCAACACGCAAACCACCCTCTTCCACGCCAACCCGATCATCCAATACCTCGTCGACCACTACGACCGCACAAATCTCCTAAGCCATGCCACTACCACCACGGAGAAACACCTCCTAAACCAATGGTTGCATCTGCAGACGACGCTGAGCTCCAGCTCCCACTCCCAAACCCACACCATCCTAGCAACGCTGAACACCGCCCTGACGAACAAGTCCTGGCTCGTGGGCGAGCGCTGTAGCCATGTCGATTTGGCGTTTCTACCGGGTCTTCATAGTCTTGCTTCTTCGGACGGGGCCCTGGGGTTGGAGCCGAGGGCGTATCCGTTTGTCGCGGCGTGGGTGGGGAGGATGGAGACGAGGGCGGCGTGGGGGAGGGTTCTTGCTGTGCGGGCGGGGTTGGTGCGGGACGCGGGTGCGGTAGAGCCTGAAGAAGAGGGGGGGCTGTTGGATGGGGAGAGTGAGTGGGAGGAGATTGAGGGCTGTTCGATTGGGGTCAAGGAGGATTTGGGGGCGGATGTATCCGTTCAAGCTGTGGCGGTTGAGGCTGCGGTGAGAATCCAGGAGATTGATGATGCTGCTGATGATGACGATGACGATGAAAGAGAGGGCATCCTGCCGTGCGCTGCTGGATTCGCGCTGCAGAGAGTATCCACACCCCGCCAGGTGCACCGCACCGATGACGAGGAGAGGGAGGGCATTCTCCCGTGTGCGGCGGTCGCGTTGCATGCTCATGCTCATGCAGCCCCGAGTCAAATGAGGAGTGGCGAGGACGAAGACAGGGAGGGAATCCTCCCGTGCGGCGCTTTCGGCGCGCACGCGAGGCAGTCTTCAACCGGGACGACAGTCGTCATGGGTAATGGTGACGATGAGCAGGAGGGAATCCTCCCGTGCGGTGCTTTCGGGGGTCACGCGCAGCACATATCACTGAAGCCGACCACGACAGCCGAGGTTCACGATGACGACGACGGCGACGATGAAAGAGAAGGCATGCTGCCCTGCACTGTGATCGGGCTTCATTCGGAGCACCTTCCCTCGAAGGGGACAGTGGTTGAAAGTGAGGGTGAGAGCGACGACGAGAAGGAGGGATTCCTCCCGTGCGGAGCTTTCAGGGCCCACACGCAGCATGCACCCGCTACCACAGAGGTCGAAGACTCTGATGTCGACGACGATATGAAAGAGGGCATTCTCCCGTGCGGTGCTTTCGGCTCACATACTGAGCACGTACTCTCTCCCGCAGGGGTCGAGGATGACGACGACGACGACGACGACGACGAGGAGAAGGAAGGCATGCTCCCCTGCGCCGGCATCGGGATGCCGCCGCCGTACGCAACGTGCACTGCCGAGGAGGATGATTTTGAGCGAGAAGGCATGCCTCCCTGCTCTCTGATGGGGATGGTATACTAAGCGTGCCATGAAACGAAGAACCGTCCGTGTGCTGAACAGATTGCTATAGCCAGCGCGACGATAATTGTATAATGCGAACATGATATCATTCCCACTCGTACCATTGAAGTAGGGTATCTACAACACGTAAACAGAAGCACAAACAGAATTTTTATGATAAACCGTCCCAAACCAAAATGGTATATGCAGTAGCAGAAAGAAAAAAAAAAAAAAAGAAAACCGCCCCCATAGCCCACAAGCAAGCCAAGCTGACACTTTACCTCTTCCTCGACGGCCTCGCATTCTTCTCCATACGCTTCTGCTTCAACTTCCGCGCGATACGAATATCATCCGTACCCCGGATCTCACTCTTCCCGCCGGCAGCGGCCCCCCCGAACTTACTGAACTGGCGCTCCTTGGCGGCGTCATTCTTCTTCTTCATCTTCTCGTAGTCGCCGCGCAGGGGGTCGGCGCGCTTGGGGGCGCGCTCCTGGCGATGGCGGAAGCGCTTGCCGCCGCCGTGACGGCCGGCGGCGTCCAGGTCGGCGGACATGCCGGGGGTCTCGGCCTCGCCGACGCGGGGCATGCGGCCGAGGCGCTTGCCCTTCTTCCAGGCGTCGAAGCGGCCGCTGCGGAAGGAGGCGGCGATCTTGGCGCCGCTCTCGCCGCGCACGAGGCGGGTGCCCTTGGAGCCGTCCTCGTCGTTCTGGCGCGCGACGTACTTCTTGTGGCGCTTGTCCCAGCGCATCAGGGTGCGCGGCTCGCCGAACCCGCGGCTGCCCTCGTCGCCCAGCAGGTCCATGGCGGCGTCGCGCGACGCCTGCGCGAAGTTGGCGTTCGTGCCCGAGTGCACCCCGTACGCGCGGTCCTCGGCCAGGTTGATGTTGGTTGGCGTGTAGGACATGAAGTAGTCTGGGTTCTGGAAGGAGGCTGCGTTGCTGGCTGTTTTGTCCTTGTTGTTGTCTTTGTTGCTGCCGTAGGCGGAGAAGGTGACTTCCAGGTCGGATTCCGAGGCCATGGACATGTTGTCGGGGATGCCGGTGGCTTCATCTTCGTCGTCGAAGGCATCGTTGCCGACGGCCTCGTCGTCGTCGCTGCCATCACCCGCGGCGCCGCCGCCGCCGGTGACGGCGTCCTCGGCGAACTCGGACTGCTCTTCGGCTTGCGCCTGGCGCTTCTTCTTCGAGTCGAGCGTCGTGCGCACGCGGCGGATGGTGCTGAGGGCCTCCTCGTTCTCGGGCTTGCCGCTGCGGCGGTTGTTCACCTCGAAGATCGTCTCCGTGGGCCGGTAGCCGCCGATGCGGGCCAGCATCTTCTCGCGCTCGGCCTCCAGCTGCGTGGTCTCGTCGCTGAACAGCGGGTGGGTGGCCGCCCAGTTGTCCGAGGCGACCACCTGCTTGGCGCGCTTGGCGCTCTCGAGGGCGGCGGCGTTGCGCGTGCGCATGTACAGCTTCTCACCCTTGGCGGCGACCGCGCGCTGGTTGGCGATGTCCGTGGAGTCCTCGACCACCTTGGCGGCCCACTCGCAGTTCTGCGACAGGCCGTCCCGGGGCAGGCTGCCGACGACGACGTCCTCGGCGTAGTTGACCTGATCCCCGAACTCGCGGCCCAGCACGAGCCGCCGCCCGAGGAAGAGCTGCAGGTCCAGCAGGTAGGGCGCGTCCTGGTCCCGGACCAGACTGTAACTCCAACCGGTCCGGCCGGCACGGGCGGTACGACCGACGCGGTGGACGAAAATCTTGGCCTGCGAGGGGAAGTCGTAGTTGATGACGTTGGCGAGAATGGGGATATCGATACCGCGGGCGGCGACGTCCGTCACAACGAGGATGTTCGAGATGCCCGACCGGAAATTCTGGACCTGGATCTTACGGGCGGTCTGGTCGAGGGAACCGTAGACGTAGGAGGTGGCGAAGCCGGCCTCGCAGAGGAGCGAGTACAGGAAGTCGACGTGGTGTTTCGTGGCAGCGAAGACGATGGTGGAGTGTTTGGTGGGGGATTCTCTCGTGTTAATGGCTTTATCCATCGCCGATCGCTTGCGCTTGCGGTCCTTGAAGGGCTTCTTCTCGTCCTCCTTCTGGCGCCGGGCCGCCTCGGTGGGGCCCGTGGGCATCTTGATCACCTCGTGGAGGATGTAGAGCAGCGCGCCCTCCTTGTCGCCGGACTTGACGGAGAAGAACACATTCTGCAGATCCGGCGAGATCTTGCTCTCGGTGTCCAGACGGATGAGCGTCGGGTCCTGCAGACCGGCGCGGGCGAACTCAACGAGCGACTTGGGCAGGGTGGCGGAGAACAGCAGGGTCTGGCGGTTCTGGGGCAGGCCGTGCAGAATCTCGGTCAGCTGGGCGGCGAAACCCATCTCGAAGAGGCGATCGGCCTCGTCGAAGACCACGTAGCGGATACTCGACATGTCCAGGTTCATCTCGACCTTCAGGTGCAGGAAGCGACCGGGGGTGGCGATGACGATGTCCGGGTTGCCGGCCATCATGGAGAACTGCTCCTCGAGGCTGTCACCGCCGACCAGCAGCACGGACTTGAGGTCGGTGCCCTTGCCGAGCTCCTTGACGACCTTCAGGGTCTGCAGCGCCAGCTCACGCGAGGGCGACATGATCAGCGCGCGGGAGCCGACCATGGTGCTGTGGCTCTTGAGCTTCTCGATCATGGGGATGACGAAGGCGGCCGTTTTGCCGGAACCCGTGCGCGCCATGCCCACCACATCCTGGTCGTCCATGATGACGGGGATCGTCTTGCGCTGGATGGGCGTCGGCACCGAGAAACCCTTCCGGGTGATCGCCTTCAGCAGGTTCGCATTCAGTCCCATCGCCTGGAAACCACCACCCTTCTTGACCGTGCGGCCCTTGAGATTCGAGCCCTTCCGGTTGGCCGACGCCTGTCTCTCTGCAATGAACGCCTCGTCATCTTCGCCGTCGTCGTTGTCGTCGTGGGTGCCGCCTAGGAAATCCAGTTGCTGCGGCGCGGCCGCCTTCGGGGGTTGGCGCTTGGCCTTCTTGTGCGGGACTTGCTCGATCTCGGAATCGCTATCATGCTGGAACAGCGCATTGGTGATGTCGAATTCATTCTCCGACAGAGCAGGGGAAGCAGCGCGAGGGGCCATTTTTTTGTGTCTGTCACCGCGCTTGTATGCGGTTTGGCCTCTTGTTTCTCTCGCAAACATATTTTTTTTTTCTGTCTGGGCCGGGGAAAATGTCCAAGGCGGTGAAGCAAGCGGGATCGAACCGTCGCCCGACAAACCAGTCAAACAGTGCAAATCCAGCCAAACGCCCGCCGCGACGCGTCCTCCAACACGTCCCGAAACGGCAAAATGCCATGAACACTTCCGTCATCAAGTGCAGTGAATAAGGATAAGCTGAACCATCCAACTTCCAAATTTTTAAAGATACCCCCAAGCAACACACTATATAATGGGTAAGCTCACATCTACGATCTGTTGACCTTCTGCACCCACCACTCTTCCGCCTCTACCACATTCCCCAGCTTTTCTTTCCCCAGCAGTTCCCCCCCCGTGGCCGGCACCCAGCTAACAATTTTCCTTGGAAATCTCAGACAGCGGCTACAACAATTACAACACCAGCTACGGCGGTAGCGGTGGAGGCGGCGGAGGCGGAGGAGGCTTCATGCCCGGCGAGATGAACAACAGTCCCTCGGGCGGAAAGGTAAAGTCAAGCCTACAAGCCCCCTTCCCTTCCTTCTTCCTGCGACCAGTCACCCGTACGCCCACCCAATACTGATCCCAAAGGAATAGGGCGACTACAACAACGCCACCCTCCGCCCGATAACGATCAAACAAGCGCTGGACGCAACGCAACCCTACCCGGAAGCGGGCTACCAGATCGACTCCGCCGAGGCAGCGAGCGTGTGCTTCATCGGCCAGGTGCGGAACATCAGCTCGCAGAGCACGAACGTGACGTATAAGATCGACGACGGCACCGGCGAGATCGAAGTGAAGCAGTGGATCGACTCGTCGTCGGCCGGGGGCGACAGCATGGAGACGGACGAGCATGCCGGAAAGTCCGCCGGGAGCAAATCCCAGCCCGAGGTCGACGGCTACGCCAAGGTGTTCGGGAAGCTGAAGTCGTTCGGGAACAAGCGCTTCGTCGGGGCGCATTGCGTGCGCGCGGTCAAGGATATCAACGAGGTGCACGTCCATCTGCTGGAGGCCGCGGCCGTGCATCTGTTTTTCACCAAGGGGCCCGCGGTGAATAGTGCTTCCGGGCAGGGGGGTGCGGGAGGTTCTGGTGCCGGGGCCGGGGCTGGGGCAGATGCGTCGATGGGCGGGGTGGAGGATTATAATAGTGGTGGGCGGGCGTTGCCGGCGATGAGTCCCGTGGCCAGACGCGTGTTTAACCTGCTCAAGACGGAGCCGCAGAGTAACGAGGGGTTGCATGCGCAGTTGATCGCTGCTAAGTTGAGTCTGCCCATGCCCGATGTCGCTAGGGCTGGCGATGAGCTGTTGACGGCCGGGGTGATCTTCTCGACGGTGGATGAGCAGACCTGGGCGATTCTGGAGTATTAGGCTCCTTGTGGTCTGGGGGGGGGGGGGTTTGTTTGCATGTACGATTTGCGCGTTATTGATGAATATGAAAAAGAATCGGTTCCTTTAATGAATGATTTACATTGCCCCGGGTGGATTGATTGGGTCACCATACTGTATTGACATAACGATATTGGCCGATTTGGGGCCTTGGTACGATCAGAACTAATCTAACACACCTAGCAAATACAACATATACACATCACAATCTCAGTCCGCTTGCAAAGGGTCGTCGTGAGTTGGTCGAAACTTTTTAAAAAAAAAAAAAAAAAACGATGCCGCCTCCCATATATGTACAGTACTTATATACCGCACCCATCCAAAGGGAAAGCTAAAAATCATCAAAACATCATGGCTGTCATCATTCGTCGGGAACAAGGAACAATAAATTCAAGTCATGGAGTTCCGCTTCAGGGCATCCTCCACGGAGCGGTTCCAGTTGGTCTGAGTGAGGAAGAACCCCTCAATGATGGAGACGAGCATCAGGGCAAGGGCCACGCCACTCCAGAGTCCGAAGAGACCCCAGTCCAGAGCAAACGTGGTCCCGAAACTGATGGGCATGGCGATAGCATAGTAGCAGAAGAGTTGCACGTACCCGCCGATCTCCTGCCGCCCGATGCCTCGGAGGATACCATTGCAGTTGGCTGCGAGGGCATCGAAGAGCTGGAACGCGGCGCAGAGAGGCAGCACCTGCGCAACCAATTCGATGACCTCCTCCTCCGACGTGAACAGGCGAGGGATGTAGTAGCGCAGCGAGGAGAGGAGGAGCATATTGAGAAGTCCGACGATCACGGCCCCGACCATGGTGACCTTGGCAGAGGTTTTGGCGGCGTTGACAAGGGTAGCGCCAATCAAGTTCGCCACACGAGTGCTTCCAGAGATGGAGACAGGGAAGGGGATCTGGAAGGTGATGCTGGAGATGGTCGACAGGATGGACTGTGCGGCCAAGGGGGTGGTTCCGAGATACGAAGAAGCCAGCGTGAGGACCTCGAAGGCCAGACACTCAGCCTCGACCATCAGGAGACCGGGAAGAGCGAGCTTGATCATGGGACCCCAGTTGCGCAGCGCCCTTCTGGTTACACCGTTCCAGCATTCGGATCCCGCAACAAAGTACACGTACAGAAACAGGAAGAGCGGCATCAGGTTATCCGTGATGGCCACGGCGATGGGGGCTCCAACAAAGCCCCACCCAAACTGCCAGACGAACACGTAGTTCATCACTGCATTGAGAGGAGCGCAGACCAGGAGGACGTAGAGAGAAGCGGAGAACAGACCCTGCGCCTGCACGAACCGCTTCCCGCTCTCAAAACAGGCATATCCCGGCGCACCCAGTGCGACCACCTTCAGATACAACCCAGCAAGCTCAGCCACTTCCCTCTCCGGCACAATCCTGACCAGGACCTTATCCGCGAAAAACCAGAGAATGACGATAGGAATGGAGATGGTCCACAGGAAGAAGACCATCTTCTGCATCTGCAAGCCCACCAGCTTCTTCTTTCCAGAGCCGTAAGCTTGGGCGCAGAGGGTATCGAGACTGGTAGCCAATCCCTGGTAGACTGTACACGGCAAATCAAATTAGCGCTATGAAAAAGCGAATACAACCGGCCTGACTTCGAGACCTACTAGCATAACCCGTGATATTGGCGCTCATACTCGCCAGACTGACAGCGCCCAGCTCCTTCTTCCCCAAGTGCCCGAGGGTGAAAATGCTAGCCACCGTCAGGGAGTATTGAAGCAGGAAGGTGAAAACCAAGGGCGCCGCATTCTTGCCAATGACCTGAGCTTCGCGCTTCCACGTTGTCTGGATGAGCCCCGCGGTGACGGCCTCCTCCCACTTCCGGTCGATCTCCTCGGAGTCCACGGAATCGTACTGCGGCGCCCGCGAAGATCCCTCCCCACCCAGGAGCGCGGTCTCTTCCGTGGACGGCGCAGACTCCGAAGCCGAGCGACGGGACTTCTTGCGTGACGGCTCGATGAAATGGTTGTCCGTGAGGAGATTCCGCTCGTCCTCGATGGCCTGGTCGCGTTCGCGGCGGGTCAGGCCCTCCTGCTCCGGGCGATAGGGAACGACAGTGGCGCGCGAGACGGTGGTGAAGTAGCTGGGCCGTTGGTACGAGCCGGCCAGGGAATGGGCTCGGGTGCCGGGCTGACTGCCGATTGCGCGAATGGTTGAGGTCTCCGAGGCATCATCGTCATCGTCGGTTGTGAGCATGGAGCCTTCGTCGTCGGCGTAGTCCTCCAGGTCGCGCGCAATTGCGGACCGCGCGAGCGGCGAGCGAGATAGGTAGTGGTGCTCATCCGACATTCTGGGGGAGTGAAGATCGGAATCGCTCGGAGTCATGATTTCTCGGATAAGAGGTCGGCGGGAGCTGCGGAGGGGGGGAAGTTGGAGGTTTATAGATGGAAACTACGGTAAGGAGCAATGCTGCATGGTTTGCCGAAAGCCGCAGCAAAGGACTTCCGGAGGGAATAAGGCACTGGATTCAAGCAAGGAGGGGAATTGTTTAAGACTGAAGAGCGACTGAGCGACTCGGATAGTTGGATGGGGGGCGACGCTTTTATCGTCTCTGGCGATTGGACAATTTCGGAAGGTCTAGCAGCGAGCAGCAAAATTTGCGGCGTCAGCGATTGGGTCATGGTGTGAGAAGTGCCCCGTATGGTGGCTTGCGGGTCTCTTACTTACCTTACCTTATCTTTGGCATCATCTCCAGCTTCCCTCGACGTGACTCACCTCGTGTCCTTTCATTCCCATTGCTTCCTTTTTGATAGGGACATTCAATCGGATTCAATCAGAGGATATCATTCACCACTTCTTGTCCTGAGTGGATGAAGGTGAAATTGAGCAATCGTTGGAACAAAAGTCTCATATCACTGTTTTCAGTTCCACTCCCTCTGATTACCAGAAACGGAGTAGTCGGGATTGATTAGCCCCCGCATTGACTGATAGGAGAATGACTAACCCGTGCGTACCAGCCATCAGCCCATGCAATTGGGCGGGATCCCAAAGAAGATGGTCCAGCCGAGGGAAGAGGGGTGGGCGAGATCGGCGATACTCTTACAGTATCCACAGAAGCTTCAGAGTTCAACATGACAGACTGAGGACCGGGTCGATCAGGTGTCAAAACAGAGGAAGGATTCCTCCAGCACCTTCTGAGAAGCTCGGCGATCAGAATTCAGACAGGTGCGACACCAAGTTCGCAAGACAACCCGCCATGACATCATTCTGCCCCGGGTTGCGCCGAGCATTGAATCACGTGCTGAGATGCATCACTAGCCATCACTAGTACAGAGCCTTGGCTGTCACCGGACCCTTTTTCCAGCACTGTTCGAGTTCTCAAAGAGAAAACCCAGAGTCCGACGTCTCAGCCATGAGAAGCACCCAGCCGAAGCGAGTCAAGGTCGCAAGTAGTTGGCCTGCGCAGTTTTGGGAATCCAGCTGTGAATATTCGATCCAGACGTGATGCAGCACACATACAGTTACACATTGCTATACCATACAACAAGCACAAACCGCCTCACCTAGCATCACACACAGAGAGACACATATACACAACGCAACAATGACAACAACAACAACCACAACAACCCAACATCACCCCCCCAAGCCCCCATACAACCCCCTAATCAACCCCGCCAACGCAACCCCCATCTCCGCCAACAAGTCAGTCCCCTTCCAAAAAAAAAACCCATCCCCCATCCCCCATCCCCCAACCCCAACCCCAACCCCAACTAATCTCCCACAAAAAAAAAGCCCCCTCCCCAACGACCGGCACATCTTCCTCGCAAAGCCCTACTGCGGCGCCCTCCTCTTCGAGAACCAGACCTCGGACGCGCGCGACCACTGCGCCAACGAGCGCACCTTCCTCTCCTGGCTGCGCCTGGCCATGTACCTGGGCGTCGTGGCGATCGCGATCATCATCTCCTTCCACTTCCAGACGCCGCCGACGGGGCTGGAGCGGCGCATGGCGCTGCCGCTGGGGATCGTGTTCTGGCTGCTCAGCCTGACGTGTTTGGTGACGGGGTTCGCGAACTATATCCGCACGGTCCGCAAGTACAGCCAGCAGGCGGCGCTGGTGCAGAGCGGATGGAAGACCCAGGTGATGTTTACGGTGGTCGGGACGGTGATCTTGGGCTGTTGCGTGTTGTTCTTGGCGACGGATGCGAAGACTTCCCGGTGATTTTTTTGTCGGGAATGGTTTGAGGGGAAATGGGGGGGGAGGGGGTTGAGGTTGTGGGTGTTGTGGATTATGCACAATCTCCAGTGCGCAGCCAAGAGGGAGGAGGATAGGTAGGTGTAGGTCAAGGGCAAAGACTAACCGACTTATGATACGTACGACACAAGCGAGCGCCTTGATATTTTGTCATTCTGAAGCATCAAAATCACATATTGGTGACTGCTTTGATAAACTTGAGAATCGATTTCGAGCATCGAAACGCTAGCCATGTAGTTATGAAAGAAAGGGGAATAAATGAGACACATTGAAGAAATCAGGTCAAGGTTTTCGCCCACGATGAGCACAGCAGCAACGACGAAACAGGGGATATTAAGATATGTATGAGAGCAAACTAAATCAACCGGAACCTCCGCCACCCCCTACATGCGACGAATCCCCCTCTCATTCTTGTAGGCCTCCAACGACGCCGAGCCGAGGTGGCTCCACCACTCGAACAGCATCGAGTTGCAGATCAGCTTGAACCAGGGCGTGAACTTGAGGCCGGGCTTCTCGAACATCTGCTTCAGCTCCTCGGCCGAGACATAGCAGGTGTCGCGGATCTCGTTGGGGTTGATGTTCAGGTCGACGTCGGCTTGGATGAAGAGGATGTAGTCGACTAGAGTTTTGGCGGTCCTGTAAGCTTTCATGCCACAACACCAACAATAAAAGGGAACGTACTCTCATGCTCGCCCCACTTGCCATCGCTGGGCGCCTTGTAGTGGATGCGGGTGAAGAACTCGAACTTGTCCAACGGCACCTGCTCCGCTTTGATGCCCAGCTCCTGATCCAACTTGCGCTGCGCCGCGCGCTTGACACCCAGAATCGCCGCGTCCAGCTCCGAGCCCGTCTCGCCGGGGATGCCCAGCGGATGCGAGCAGCAGGTGTTCGTCCACATGTCCGGGAATGTGATCTTCTCGGTGGCGCGCTGTTGCAGGAGCAGGCGGTTGTTGGAGTCGAAGAGGAAGACCGAGAAGGCGCGGTGCAGCAGGCCGCGGTCGATGTTCGTCATCAGATGGCCTGGTTGATGCGAGCATTACATTGTCAGCGATCTGAAATGAGACGTAGGCCATGCACAGGTCTTTGGATGAGGGAAAAGACAAGGAAATAAGCGGCAAACGCCACCGCTGTTGTCCCCCCCCCTAAATACTGAAGCTCTGGGAGCAAAAACTTACAGGCCTTCTTGCTGGCACTACCAATAGGCTTGTCGTCTTTATCCAGCACAATGCACACCTCATCCATCAAACGAACTTGTTCCTCATCGTAGCCGGCCAGATCGTCGCTGGACCCAGCGGCGGCAGCACTGGTCGCAGTCGGGAGAACCTCACGAGCGAGCGAAGTGTCGACCTCGGGGAAGAGAGTCGCGACGTTCTCCGCCGTGATTCTTGACGTCTCGGTGACAGTTGCCGTGGCGCTCATTATGAAGGTTAACTGCACTGAGGACGATAAGGGGGGCGGGAAAGCTGAAGGAGAAGATGAGGGGTCGGCGGAGGAGGAGCGAAAGCGGGCGGCTTTATTATGATTGACCCTTCATTTTTCCGGGGGGGGGGGGGGGGGGGGGGGCCCCCATGCCCCGGGCGGTGGCAGAATCTCAAAGTCGTGCGGAGTTCTTTTGGAGGATGTGGATGTTGCACAACATTATTGCTGCGTTGGTCCCGGGAGTTGACTGCATGAGAGGGGGAGAGGGGTGTGTTGCAGCTCGTCCGACCTATGGCCTTGCAACAATGGAGGTCATGCGCTGGGCTCGAGTCTCGGATTGTTGGCACCAGGTTGCCGGCTGAGAGATTTCAGCTCTCGATTGAGCAACGATTGATCTGCAAAGAGACCGTTTCGAGTGCCTGCACCACTGGCCTGCTTCGCTTGTGTTTTCTGGGAATGAAGAACTGACGGAGTCTGGATGTCAAGAACCTGGCAGTTGAAGGTCTGCATGTCAGACCCGGGAATGTGTCACTGGTGATGAGGGGCTGTGACGCACATGCTGCTCAGCTCAGAGTCGCATCGCAGTGGCCCTCCGTCCCACAAGCAGCTCTATCGAGTACAATCGGAGGAAGTGATCCTAGCTTGCCGAAAACTCGAGATGTGCTTCAGAGCAGTGACTTGCACGATTCTGGGCGTACTGCTAGAAGGCTGGCTGGCTGGCTGGCTGGCTCTACCGAGACTCCCAGTCCTGCAGCCAAAGCAGATACATTCCTCGCTGCCAGCTCTTTCACGGAGGAATGTAGCTTGCATCAATCGCCCAAGAGAATTCTGCACAAACTATGTCAGCATGAAAGCAGACATCAAGCACTAGTTAAACTCCAAGTACAAACATCCAGGTACTCAGCACACATATAATCCATCACACGAAGTAACCCACCATTCTATGTATCCGTGAAAGCGCAGAGGTACAGTCAGTACCTGCAGCCATAAACCGAATCAACTACGCGGACGTGGGGGGGATGATGGGATCCTTGAACCCCGACCGACCATGTCATGCCTGTATGTGCCCAAGCCCAATGTCAACAGAAGCAAGGTACTGCACAGTACAGTGCTTGCATGCATCACTTGCATCGAGTCCCCGGACGAGGATCCAAGCATCCCAGTCTTATTATATGCAGCCCATCTCCGTAGATTCTAACTTAGTCAGTTGTATTGAGCTTACATCTGTTATTCTCCCCCAAGCTTCCCCAGCACCATTCCACTACAAACGCAATATCTCAACCCCAAAGACCTGACCTACCTGACCCCCAAACATGTTCAAATTCAAGAACCTCTTCACCCACTTCAAAAAACCCCCCATTCAGTCCTCAACAAACCCCCACGAAAACACCCCGAATCTAAACAGAAATAGGCAAGGAAGGACCACACAAATACCCCGAGACCTCTTAATTGAAGGGCCCACCGCAGTCCGACTCCGACCCCGACCTTAGGAAACAAGTCCGATGATGTCCGGCAACAACGCTGAACCCACCCACACTTAGGCCTAACCCCATCAAAAAAGTGAGATGAAACCAATATCCATAGTCCCAGCTAGAGGACGACGACAACAAATCGACCACCGGCACAACAGGAGCGACGGTGTTGAATTAGCCCTGGATGGGAACCATGGTACGGTCGAGGACTTTAATAGCCGAAGCGCGTCGGGGGCAAGACGAGATTGATGAGGTGGATGGAACTACTAGTCTCGATGCGGGCAAAAGAGGGAAGAGGGAAAAAGCCTGGACTACTCCTTGGAGCTGGTCCAGGGGACGACATTTCGGGGTTAGGGCGGGTAAGTACTTGGTAAGTAAGCAGGTTGAGTTTTAGGGGAGGAACAGAGTCGTCTACTATAGTTAGGGCGTATGAGTTACCTAGTACTAGTCGTAGCCAGGTACTATACTGGAACTACTGGCCCTATCTCCCGCTATTCCATGGTTCCAACGTATGGGCGGCCGGTCGGTCGGTCGGTCGGTCGGCGGTCGGAGTTGCACTAATGAGAGGCTTAGACGCACTGTAACCATCTACTGTACACTGCTGTACACTGTACACACTTGGGACGGAGAATAAAGCCAGTGTTGGAAGTTCTGTCTGCAGGTTTTTGTTGCTGAGTGGCGCCCCCCCCCCCATTGCAGTGAATGAAAACAGCCTCGTTGACCGACCGGCCATGATGAAGATCCCTTGGAGGCACTCTGGATCTTCTTTTCAGCCCGTGTCTCCGTAGCCCGGGTCTGTCTTTCTTTGTTCGAGTCCGATATTACTCGAGCCTAGCGTCTGTTAGTGTCGAGCTAGATTTGCGCGATTGTCTGGCCATCGATTCCCATCTATTCCGGCAATGTAATACAAGCTTTGGTTCGAGTGAAAGGAACAATGAATCGATTGTGCGTGCTGTGCGAGTCTCCTACAATCTGCTCCCCTTGCCTCCGCATGGACCTGCCACGCGGGAGCGCTGAGGCTCTATAGCCCTCCCATGTGCTCGATGCGAGCTGCAGAAACACTCAAGCTCGAAACCAGATGGAGCAAATCCCAACGCAAGAACCTCCCCAGAGGGAAAAACCAAAACAAGAACAATTGCCATGGCAAGTAAAGAGACAAACATGAAAACAGATGACCTCATTGCAACAAACATGTAAATATAAACAAACCTCCACCCAGAATGTGATGTGCTAGTATCGACTGTTACCTCCCAAGAAATCATACAGGCGTGTCAAGAAATATGGCGGTTATGCTTGCGGTCAACGCAGGGCTTGACTGATTCCAAAACCTGTGCAGCGGTTGAGTCTTCTCCCACTGCTGGTCAAGGAATACCGATGCTGGTGGCCGTTCGTGGCGATGAATCATCCGGTGAAAAACAAATCCACGAATGCGGTCCTGAAACCCTCTACGAAGCGTTGCACTTTCGCTTCTTCAGAGGGCATCCGTCTAGCTTGTGTCTAACACAGTGTCAATATCTGAGCATGTCGAGTTTACTCGCACGGAAAGTTGCCAACATACCTATTAAGCGTATCCTGTCGGCTGTAGTTCTGCCCGCACTGGTCGCAGTAGAATTTACGCTCCTGAACATGGGCCTGCGACTGTCAGAAACTCGACCTCTTAGATCAAATATTGCCACTTACGCTCTGCACATGTCTCCGAAGATCAGTGTTCCGCCCATATGCCTTTCCACAGACGTCACATGGGAAAGACTTCCTCTGCCTAGGGTCATGCCTCTTCTCGTGCTCGCGGCAATTAGAGCGTCGAGTGAATCGAAATCCGCACACACTACACATCAGGCCACTCGCAGATGGTATCTTCAGCTCTTCACCAGGAGTCCTGACCACCTCTTCGATCCACCTTGAGATTGCTTCGGAGGGGATTGGTCCGAGTGCGCTTTCTTGGTCCGCATTAAACGCAGCTGAGTTACTGACACTATCGATGTGAGGCCACTGCAAGCCAGAGTCTGTGCCGCTTAGAGGCATAGGTGCCATCTGGGAAAGTGCAGCAGGTGCGTCGGAAGCTGAATTTTCGTGCACAGAGGGCCCCTGCAACCCATCCGAACCCTCCTTCATGGTATAGTCTACTCGCATATCTGGACAGTCAGAAGTCGGCGTGCGAGGCCATACGAATGGCCTGTCTTCCGGCGCAATTTCGTGGTGACCCTCAGTCTCCGTAGTCGAACCATAACTCAACGACGAACTTAACGTTTGTGAACTGTAGAAACTGGACGGAGAGGGAGCAGCCTCCATGACACCGCCAAGCGGTTCATAGATGGCTGTCGAAGAGAAGAGCCTGTATTCCGGAGGGGGTTGGAGGAAGTTTTCGGGACTGAAAGCTGTATTCGACCAAGCGTTGGCTGACAAGGAAGGAGGTGCTGGGTGCGGATATAGTTCGGTCTCGGACGCAGTACTTTCCATGCCGAAGTGTGATATGCCCAAGCCAGCCAGCTGTTGAGTGTTCTGCATATCGAAGGAAGTCGCATACATAGAGGACGCATAAGGTGAAGTGGCATCTAGGATCGGGTGGTCATCCGACGCCGAGCTAGCAAAGGGCGAAGGTGTCGGGTATGAAATAGGCGTGAAGTTCATGGTTGATGGAGAAGCAGCCAAGGATATTGAAAAAGGTGACGAGTGATGTTGAAGACACGGGCAAGAAGTTTATAAACAAAATGGGAAGAAAGGTCGAAGATATTATATTTTTCACGGCGTCTTGATCAAAGCCAAGGACGATCAACAAGTGACTGAACAATGCAAGAGATGTCACTGAGCTGTGACAGCGAGAATAATTATATAAAAAATTTTAGGAGTCAAAGTGACTCGGTAGCAACGCTGCTGTGCGATCGCAATAGTGGCGCACGATAAACAGCGGCTGAAAGCAATGACGACTAGATTGCCATATGACAATTGGAGTACAGCATCCGCCGCATGGGGCACAGAAGAGTGAGATAGAAGCAAGAAGACCGACGCCCCGTCAGGCAAGGCAGACTTGAGAAGACATCGTTGCATGGGTGAGGAGGGACTTGACGCGAAGGGGGTGTGCAAGGCCTAGCTGGGTAGGGCCGAACCAAGTGGACTGCAGCCTCTGGTCTGCAGCATCCATATAGGCGCGACAATTAGATATTATGCACAATAAATTAGCGCCGGATGGATGTGATCAGGCCAAGTTGCCAGTCACTCTTTTACCCTGGGCTAAAAAGAACAAAATAAAAGAGGTGTGGGTGGGGAAGAGTAATGCATGATGCGATTGACATCGGAAAACACCGTCGTGAGGTGTGGTAGTTTGTCTAAAAGGAATCGACGGTAATGAGGACCCGACACGCACTTGACAGCGGATAGAGGGGAAGAGGAGCACAAACGGCAGCCGGCGGCGCTTGAGCCAGAGGAGGGGAAAAAAAGAGGGAAACGGAATCAACCCCAGTCGATAGACGGGGGGAAGGGAAGGGAGAGGGGGGAAAGAGGTAGGATGGCCTGTTCCACCCAGGACTGCTGGAGAACGACGAGCATCAGCAGCGCCTGCATCATAATTATTGAATGGGACCGCTGGTTTCCCCAATAGCAAGACTGGTCGAGCGCGATTTTCTTTTTCTTTTTCTTTTTTTTCTTTTCGTCTTTTCATCTGATTCATTCTCAGTCTTCTTGCTGTGGATGAAAAAGGAATAGCTGGGACCCGACAGTCTGGTACCTTGCTTGGCAACGCAACAGTGCGTGTCGCCAGGTATGATTGACAAACACTGCCCCCATGGCTGAGGAAACGAGAGGACAGGAATTAAAATCCAGAATCACAGTCGCGTAGCATAGTAATGTTGGGGACAAGAGCGTGGCCAGGGTGTTGCTGGGGGGTGGGGGGGGGGTATGGTTGTAGATGGAAAGTCATGTTGGAAGGCTGGCTTATCTTCTTCGTGGATGAAGAAGTTCAGTTCAGCGGAGAAAGAGAAGATTGAGGAGGGAAGGATAGAAGGGGAGAGGAAAGGAGGGGGGGAAAGGTTGAGTAGGCCCCGGCCCCGGGGGGTCCCAAAGTTACCCGTGACCCCGTACGGGTACAGTTTTGGGGGCGTATGAACCAGGGCAATGAGGGGCATCCGGCCCTAATCCCAGGCCATCCTCCAACCAACCTTCGAACTGGGAAAAATGGCATGGTCCCATTACTATTGTTTCTAAATCGAATAGAAAATCGTGGAAAATTGTATCAATTCTTAGCCCATTGCAACTAATGCAAAGACTTAAAAGAACAACCTCTGCAATTACCTAAAAAGTGCCAGCTCTCCTAAGCAATGAAAGGCATGTGGAGGTCTAGAAACCTCTTATCATACAGTGCATGGACCAAAGCAGCATCGATCGCGAGGCCCAGGGATCAGGAAATGCAAGAATGCACCAGTGTGGGATGAGGTTGTCACACAGACATCTGGGCCGCGCTAATAACAAAAGGAAATTGATCATCTATGTACTGTACAATCGTATTCAGGAAGTAGGAAGTGTATCTAGTTAATGGGACAATAGTGCAAAGACACTCAACCATCTAAGCAATACAGCAAATCTTTGCGTGCAAGTGAAGGCTTCGAAGTTCAAGAACGTAGCCTATTTTCGAGTTGGTCGCTGGCCGGTGCTCGCGCTAAAGCTTAGGCTTTGAAGCCGGCCCTGCGGCGAGTGCGTGTGCCTAACAGGCCTACGGCACAATCGTCTCCATGTTCAAGCCTAGTCCCTCGCCAGCTGGAAAGAGCTAACTTAGCGTTCGTTAATGGGCTCGATGGAGAAAGGCCACGGTTGTAGCCACTCGTTCCACTTGAACCCGCAATCTCTCTATTTCATCGACCATATCCGGAATGTCAACCGGTCCAGCCTGGCCTGGAAACGACCCGCGTATCTCCGAGTGAGAGCGCTCCTTGGATCTTATAGGTTTGGAGAACTGCCCCTCACTTGCGGAGCCCTGCAGCGGGGCATGGTGCGTGGAGAGAGGGAAGCCCGCTTGGAAAGACGAGGTCGGGCGACTGCTCCCTCCTGTCGTGGCTGTTGGTGGAAACTGACTATTTCGCCGCGAAACATAGCGGCGGCTAGATTCATAGGCCCAGATCAGCGCAACAAACGGTAGGTGGGTTGCTCGGAGCAACACGATGCGGACTCGGCGAATATGCTCTGCAGATAGGAAGAGCCTCATGGGCCGGATACAGAGAAGAGGGATGAGGTTCTATAGCGTAGCAGATCTCGCTGTTAGCGACTCGTCCTCTGGTGCAAGCTCAAGTGATCACCATGGACTGACTAAAGGAGGCATAAAGTAGGTCAACCTTCGCGAATTACTGCTTTCCAAGACGTAGATCGACAACCTGGGTCTAGCGTCAGTTATTTGCTCCTTTTTTTTTTTACCTTGCATGTCGCCTTGATAGAATGCTCACTGGAAGAGGTACTCTTCTCTCGCATGAGCCATGACCTGAAAGATAGAGTCAATGCCGATTAGCAGTTGACAGATTAGGAAGTGCGCAAATCAGCCACCGTGCGCAATGGACAGACATACCCCTTCTAGACTCATGCTCATAAGGCTGACCAACGACGAGAGCAACAATAAGTTGGTCATGGAGACAAAAATTAACCTGCAAACCAATGTCCATTAGCCACTATTTCCAGGCTATAATTGGGGTGTGATGGGGTCCGTAGTCGTTCGCATCGATGCCGAGAAGGTCGGGTGTGAGGCTTGACGTGCTCAAGCTGCGTCCTATTGGCGGCCCGGCAACACTGGCGCTCATCAACGGGCCTTCAGAGCAATGAGTCCATGACCCTATGATGTCTGATGTTGGCATCGCCACCTTCGGATGCACCTGAGCGAGAACAGAACTGGAACTGAGATCAGGGATAGACAGGGTAAAGCGACAGGGGAAACGCCAAACGTGATCACAGGCGTATGCGACCGGCACGTCCCATGGCATCTGTGGCGCAGTAGGGAGCAGGTGTAGTACAGCAACAGCAAAAGGGAACAAACACACATCAAACCGTAGCCGAAGATCGGGGAAATCTAAGAACTAGCGCGTCAGTAAAACTTCACTCGAGAGCCAATCGATTCCGGCGATCCTTGTCATCTTCCAATCAAGATTGCATGGCGCCCGCCTAGTGCATGAGACTTACATCGTGAGCGATGTCCTGTTTCCAATCATTTCAGCCACCGTCAGTCTTGCAGAAATTCGAGCAACCAAGAGACAAGGGACAACCCACGAAGCCCAGCACGTTCGACCTGCCTCGCACTGTTAGCTCCAGGGAAGCGTCGTCGTTAACCAAGGAATTTCACCGCCATACCCAAAGAACACCTTCACCAAAATCCATGACATTTGCCTGAGAGAGAGGCGGTCACGAGCGAGCATGGTAAACGTGGTCAAGAACCCTGCAGGAACATCCCCCGCCGCATTGGCATCAGGCTTTCTCGAATGCGTCATTTGGGGTTACCCACCTAGGTACAACACTACGATCACAGGGATAAATCGGAAGAACGCTTTGGTCTAGAACAACTTCTATCAGCTTCCTCGCCACCTGCAACTACGGGGCAGCCGGGTAATTGCACCATCTCCTTGAGAACCGGGATCTATGCATGGAAGTCAGCCCAGTCTCCTCAAAAGCATGCATAATCCGCGGGCATAGCATACCAAACTTCCAAAATAGGAATTTAAGCTCACCAGGGAGCAGATCCTGTTCAGCTCCCATGTGTCAGAGTCTGCTGAAACACGTATCACCTTGCTGGCACAGGGGGCCTCCGGACTCACCGAGGAACTAGAAACAAAGCCTCCAAGGACAGGATATCGAAAGATAGGTCAGTGATGTAATCACTCCTCTTCGCCAGACCGATAACCCCTATTGGTATTCCCAGTTCAGTTAGTCAATGGAGAACATGCAAATGCCCCTGCCAGAAACCTGGTTGCACAGAGACTGTGCTCAGCTGAGAATAATGGGCACTGCGACGAGGCAGATTCCTGATCTTCGAGCGTGACTCACTTATGATCATGAAGGCAAGACCGGTACCGATAATGGCTATGTTCCAGACACTCCAGAAGTCCATCTGGTAGAAGACCATCCCCGCATCAGTCATGCCGCTAAATTCGTCGTAGGCAAAAGCAGCAATCCAGATGTACATCAATGTTTCGAAGATACCTATTCCGGTGGACTTTCTCTCCACCAAAACAGCATAGTAAAGAAACAGGAAGGAGACGAAGAACGCAGCCTCAAATGCTTTGCGATATACTGGGACCCTCAAGCGGGAGTATGGATCCGCGTTCCTGGATGGTATGTCTCTTAGCAGCCTGCGAGATGCTCTCCCGTTTTGAAGGAAGGGACTCCTACCTCTTGTTGAAGAACTGGGGTTTCTTGGTGGAATGAACACTGAGCGAGTCCCAAAAGACAATCTCCCCATTCCAAATATTGTCAATTACCTTTTGAACGACTTTCTGACTTAGGAACTTCTTTGCTTCTGCGATGGCTGCTATTTCCAGGGCGCTGAGTCCGAAGAACATGGAGTACTTCATAAGCTCATACGCGTCCGCAGAGGAAACGTTACTCCCAGAGTTTGCTATATCCGACGCGCTGCCTGCGCGCCTCTTTCCGCCGAAAAATCGGTACAGCGAAGAGGATGAGTGTAAAAGGAGGGGTGTTCTTTCTCCTTCCCGCTGGAAACTTTGCTCGTCGCCTGCGGGTGTGAAAGCCGATGCGCCTCTCTCCGCTTGGGTGAGACTGATGGAAGCATACACGGGGCTAGGCAACTCCTCTAGCAAGTATTCAATAGTCTCGCGCTGATTGATGTGACAGAGAAACTGCCATGCTACGTATTCGCATGCATAGCCGCGGCCTTCGTTTAGACCCCAGTCATTCTCGGCTGCATTGTTGAACTCCCACTTCAGGATCCTGCAGCGGGTCAGCCCAGAGGTTCATGCAGCTACATGCATGAGAAGCTTACATCAGTGCAGAGATGATACATGGATTGTGCGAATTCTCTGCTAATGAGTACAGCAGTAACCTAAGCTTCTGTCCGCAAGGTGAGAATCTTAATTCCTCGAAGGAATATGAGACCTCGGAGATCGCTTGTATCATATAGCTAATTGGCAGTAGCCAGTCAGCTTGGCTAGTGCTAACGGATTGCCGGGGCAAGAAATTACTTTTGAAGTTTGCGTACGACCTCGATGAGGGGCTCATTGTCATCAATGATAGGAACCTCAATGTGGTCTTGATCGACGGGCGGAAGTGACGCCATGGAGGACTCCATCCCGAAAGAAGCCATCAGTCGAGTAAAGTAAGCTCGTGGCCCTCAAGACTGTGCGACCTGACTATAACTAGTGTTAGTGAACACCATTGTTGTGAATAGGAAGCGGGAAACAGCAACCGTGAATACAAGAAAGCTAACACGTCAAAGTAACGAGAAGAAAAGGGACAGAAGAGAACGAGGACAGAGAGTAAAATGGATAATCCAATACAGTCTTGTGTTCTTTTCCGCTTGGGGGTTTTTTTTGTGCAGGTGCTAGTTTCTCGAAGGGTCTGCGAATGATTTGTCGGTGAACAACTCTTCAGGGATGCATGTCAACCTTACCGGAAGCCAGGTACTGAATGGCACCGATAGTACTCCGTACTGTATCTGAAGAGGTAGTATTTCTGGCATGAGTACTCGTCAGCAGGAGAAGCAGAAAAATTATTGAAGAAGAAGATAAAAAGCAGGGCTTCTCACTTAGAATGCTTGGACTATTTCCCGTGGTGTTGGGTGAGTCTGTCTGAGCAGTTGTTGGCGACCGTTCTAAATAAGTGTCAGGGTATCTGAGGTGTTCCCGGGAGGATGGCGAGAGTCTCAGTATGGCGGCATGATTGGCTCATTCGGGGCCATGAATCCGCCGGCGAAACAAGCTCTACGGGACGCCATTGCAGCCATATCCCGTCCGTGCCCAATGATAAAGCATTACATGAGTTGGTGACTTCTAGTTCGTCAGAGATGTACAGCTGATCGAGCCTCACTTCTGTAGAGATGTTATGTTGGTCTGTTCGATCAAAGGTTATCTCAGTTCCGCAGCCGACGGATTGATCATCATTTCGTAGGAGGGATTCTCATAGCGATAAAGTGTTTCAGTTCTATTCCTGGGAAAAGAAGTCATTTTAACAATAACAATAGCTTCATTGAAGAGCCAGCCGCATCAAAGGAAACATCATAAGTAAGGGATGGATGGATGAGACTAAGGTACAGTACGCTCTGTAGATAATCTATCGATCTGTAATACAGCCGAAGCGAAGCCGCTTCACCGCTTTCCTTGAAATCATGTGACCAACATGGGAGCTCCAACCGTGTCGGGCGCGGCTTCATCCAACTTATCCACCCCATGACAAGACCCAGACCCAACCCAACTAACCCGCCCGTCTTTCTGGCCTGGCTCTCTCGTTCAGCCAAAGCAACTAACCCCTACCTTTGAACTATTTGCTTTTGAGTCATCTCTAGCAACCTTGATGTGACAGGTCAAATCTTGCTCTGCCATATTTGGGAGATGAAGGCGCATCAACACCATGGGCCAAGGCTATTCACTCACCACCCTGTCCGCGGGTTCGGCGGGGATCGATGTCCCCGAACTATCGGACCTGGCCTATGAGAAGTCCATGGGTGGTGGCAGGTTCATGAAAAGTATCCGGGCCAGACAACACAATGGCCTCGTTTTCGTAAAGGTTATAATGAAGCCTTATCCCAGTATGAAGCTGGAGCCATATATCAAAGCTATTTTTCGTAAGTCCCGATAGTTCCGAGCAGCTGCACTGCATGTGCACTGGTGCTAATACCGGCGGTAGGGGAGCGCAGGCTGTTGGCCGATGTACCCAATGCTTTGAGTTATCAGAGGATACTCGAGACCAGCACCGGTGGTTATCTCGTTCGGCAATACATCCATAGCTCTCTTTATGACCGGATGAGGTATGTTTGCCGAAGATCTGCCACGATGGTATGAGTATGTTCACTCACCACAGTGCACAGTACCCGTCCATTTCCCGAGGAGATTGAGAAGAAGTGGATTGCCTTTCAACTTCTATGTGCGCTGAGGGATTGTCATTCGCTCGACGTGTTCCATGGTGATATCAAAACCGAGAATGTTTTGGTCACGTCTTGGAATTGGCTCTACCTCTCTGATTTTTCGTCCTCGTTCAAACCCACGTTTCTTCCCGAGGACAATCCGGCGGACTTCTCATTTTATTTTGACACGTCCGGTCGTCGGACCTGCTACTTGGCACCTGAAAGGTTTCTCGAAGCCGGCGAGGAACCTGGAAGCCGGCATGTCAACTGGGCTATGGACATCTTCAGTGCTGGCTGCGTCATTGCTGAACTTTTTCTAGAGGCTCCTATCTTCACATTGAGTCAGATTTACAAGTACCGGAAAGGTGAATATAGCCCAGAACATAGCCAGTTGATCAAAATTGAGGACCCGGAGATCCGTGCCTTGATTCTCCACATGATCCAGCTCGAGCCTGAGTCTAGATATTCCGCGGAAGAGTACCTGAATTTCTGGAAGAACAAGGCGTTCCCCGAATACTTCTACAGCTTTCTACATCAATACATGTCTCTAATGACGGATCCATCGTCGGGTAGGGCACAGGTAGAAGCAGGATCTACCAGTCGAGGAGAGGCCGATGACCGCATTGAAAGAGTCTACCTTGACTTCGATAAAATATCCTACTTTCTTGGTGCCTCGCCAGCGACTACTAAAGATGGATCAAACCGCAACCGCCCCAAGCTCACCGGCGATACTTTTCCCGTGGAACTAGACCTTCCTCACTACGGGCTTACGACTACAAGATCCCAGCCACAAGGAGATGACGGAGTGCTGATATTCCTGGCTCTTGTTGTCTCCAACCTGCGTAATACGTCGAAATCATCCGCCAGGATCAAGGCCTGTGACATTCTGCTTGCCTTCGCTGAGAGACTCTCGGATGAGGCCAAATTGGACAGGATCCTCCCATATATTATGGTACTTCTGAACGACCGCACGGATAGAGTCAAGGTAGCTGCCATTCGTGCCCTCGCTCAGCTGCTGGAAATGGTTCAGGTCGTGTCACCGGTCAATGCCTACTTGTTCTCAGAGTATATCTTCCCGAGGTTGCAACCGTTCGTGCCTAGTACTAGCTTCAATCCGAGCCGACTGGTGCGAGCGGCATACGCATCATGTATTGCGTCGCTTGCCCACTCATCCTTGAGATTTCTGGACATGATTCAAGCCCTGCGCTCTGATACGCGACTTCCAGCTCTGATACCAGTGGGATCAGAGCCCAGGTGGACAGAAGATGCGACCTACCACAACCTTTACGATGTTGCAAGGGTTGATCTCCTTGAATACTTCGAAGCACATACTAAAGCCATGTTAACTGATGGCGACGCATCAGTCCGTCGTGCCTTCTTGGGTTCCGTATCAGAGCTTTGCGTGTTCTTCGGCAACCTCAAGACCAATGAGGTGATTCTGAGTCATTTGAATACTTATCTCAACGACAGGGATTGGATTTTGAAATGTGCTTTTTTCGAGGCAGTGATTGGGGTTGCAGCTTACGTCGGCACTACTAGCTTGGAGCAGTACATTTTGCCGCTAATGGTACAGTCGATGACTGATCCTGAGGAGTTCGTCGTCGAAAGGGTACTCAGGTCGTTGGCAGCAATGGCTGGTCTTGGGCTTTTCCAACGCTCGACAACCTGGGAGCTGATCCATATTGTAGTCCGATTCCTGGTGCACCCGAACGCCTGGATTCGTGAGGCGGCTGTCCAATTCATCATCGCATCAACCAAGTTTCTTTCCGTGGCAGATATATACTCTATCTTGACTCCGCTTGTTCAGCCGTTCTTGAAGGTCAAGATTGTCAATTTCACCGAGGGTGAGCTGCTCGACGCTCTCAAGCGACCACTCTCGAGAAATGTGTATGAACTTGCATTTGTCTGGGCTTCAAATGTCGAAAAGGGCCTTTTCTGGAAGGCAACATCCCGTGAAGCGAGTTTTGCGTTCGTGGGAACAGATAGTACCATCCCCAGATGGGGTCAAAAGAGTTCGAGCCTGTCGATGAGTACGCAACCGAGGAATGAGGAGGATGAACAGTGGCTCGCGCGACTGAGGAACATTGGAATGGGCCAGGAGGACGAGTTAAAATTCCTCGCACTTAAGGAGTTCATCTGGAGGGTCATCGCCCGCCAGTCGAAGGACAACGCAACGGGGACTTCGCCTTTGAATAGCGTCATTGCTTTGACTCAGTATGGAGTCACGCCACAGACTGTCTTCTTTGACAAAACACAAAATACCCGGCCTCGCACAAACTCCCTCGGGAATACGGAGAATGCTAAGGCTGAAGATCGAAGACCACATACAATCACCGATGCCTTGCTCGATGCCTCAACGTCTATTGACAACAGACCTGAATCCCGGCGGAAACATCTTCGTTCGAGGAGCCAGCTAACGGACCATTTGACAATTCCACGCCCAATTGCTGTGAACAATATCAGGTCTGAGAATTCTCCCGTCCCATCGCCAATTGCATCCTCGCCTGGAGCTGCTGGGCCTGCCTCGCCACCCAGTTCGGATGCTGAACGAAGAATATCAGGAGGTCGCGAGAGTCCGGCACAAGATAGCTCATCAACGCCCACTGATGCGGAGAATCCTACTATCAGAAGGTTGGCTAGTGGAGTACAGAGAAAGTCGAGCGCCATGAGCTTGCTCAATCGTAGGGATTTTGCCAAAGCATATGCCGAAACGGGGACAAGCCCCGCCAATGCCTTTGGCAAAGTCGATTCTCCTTCGCAACGCGAAGATGAACAAGCAGTTGCTTCTCCCTCGCTCCCTGTAAGGACAGCGGTGGAACGTGGCCCGCAGCAGTATCATGCCAATCACTCTTACGCTGGGAACGATCCAGTCGTTCTCCGCCTCCTTGACTCGGTTTTCGCGGAAAACTACCCCACGGACTTCTTCGACCTTGGTCCTTATGTCAAGGAAGTGGATACCAAAAAGCCGATGATGAAGGCCAGCGGACAGGAACCTAGCAAAGTCTGGAAACCCACTGGTGGCCTTGTGACAGTATTTGGGGAGCACAGTGGGCCTGTCAATCGGGTGGTGGTCGCGCCCGACCATGCCTTCTTCGTCACGGCCTCTGATGATGGCACTGCAAAGATCTGGGATACGACCCGCCTTGAGAAGAACCTCACCCCTCGTTCTCGCCAAACGTACCGGCATTCTACCGAAGCGAAGGTCAAGTCATTGGCATTTGTGGAAAACACTCACACTTTCATCACTGGGGCAAGTGATGGTAGTATCCATGCGGTCAAAGTTGACTATCACCACGCCAATGGGAACGTTCGCTACGGAAAACTTCAGCTCGTGCGCGAGTATCAATTGCCCCCGACCGAGGATGGCACCGTCGAGTATGCTGTGTGGATGGAGCACTTCCGCGTCGAAGCACAGTCGACGCTCCTAATTGCCACCAACACATGCCGCGTTCTGGCCCTCGATATGAAGACCATGCTCCCAGTCTATTCTCTGCAGAACCCCGTGCATCACGGAATACCGACCACGTTCTGCTGTGATCGCAAGCACACCTGGCTCTTGATGGGCACGACGCACGGCATCCTCGATCTCTGGGACCTGCGGTTCCGAGTGCGATTGAAGGCCTGGGGCCTTTCCGGCTCAGGTGCTATCCACCGGCTCCAGGTCCACCCAACCAAGGGACGTGGGCGCTGGGTTTGTGTGTCTGGCAGCGGTGCGCACGGTAACGAGATCATCGTCTGGGACATTGAGAAAGTCCGGTGCCGCGAGGTATATCGTGCCGATTCACTGGGGTTGAGCGCCTCCGGCTCTAACGGGGTGCCACCCGACAACCGGCCCAGGCCAACTTACCTGGGTGCCCGAGACTATGAAGCCTGGCATGTGGAAGGCGATCGACCGGAAGGCATGCTCAGCCGATTCGCGATGGAAGGACTGGCCTCGGGCCCCGCCGACCACCCCTCGGGGCCGTCCCCGTCCAGCGCCCCCGCCGGCATCTGTGCCTTTGCCGTGGGGTACGACGCCCCCGACGACGGTCGCGACAGTAGCACTCGGTGCGGGTTCATTGTCTCGGGCGGCTGCGACCGCAAGATCCGCTTCTGGGATCTCACGCGCCCGGATCTGTCGACGGTAGTTAGCGGCCTCGACGCCGTGTCCACAGACGGCGGGGTTACGCAGAAACCACGCTACGAGCTCTCCCAGCCCGGTCCGTCCCTGATGATGACAACAGAGCATATCCCGAATGGCACCTCTGCCTCCTCCACCGGCGCCACGGGCAGCGCCAACAAGGGCGGGAGTGGCAGTGCTGGGAGCAAGAAGGGCAGCAACAGCGGGCGACTTCCGCGAAGCACGGTGATCAGTCTCCAGCAGCAGCAACTCCTGAAGAGCCACCTGGACTTTATTCAGGATGTCGCCGTGCTGCGGGCGCCGTACGGGATGGTCGTGAGTGTCGATCGGGCGGGGATGGTGTATGTGTTTCAGTGAGCGAAGCCTACAAGTGGGTGACTTTGCCTAGTATAGGCAAATTAGCTAGGTAGGTAGTCTTATAAGAATCAAACCCCCAATAATCAGTCTCCTGTAAACCAACCAATCACCTTCAGTACAGTAAACAGCGCTACATACTCACCGCGACAAAAGCACTTAATAGATACCAACCCCACGCAGCAATACCCCTCAAACCCCCATCCCAGATAATCTATCTAACCCCCAGCCTCTCCCAACCATCATCTCAACGGTCGAAATCATATAATCATCTACTATAAGGCAAGGATAGAGTGGGCTGGGTTTGGAAATTGACAGCGCAGGTCCGAGCGGCGTGGTGAAACTGCGTACGTGCGCGCGCGCGCTGGGCCCTGGCCTACTGTCCTCTCATCTCAGACAGGAGAAAAAAAGTCCCTTCCGTGCCTTATATTTGAACGTACAGTACCCTGGACTCGAGAACCTTAGTATGTATTGTATGTACAGTACTTACGGTAGTCTCGCTCTGTGCGGAGGGATTATTTTGACATTACCTACCTTAATTAACTATAGTCTACCGGACATACAACCGGGATTATAGGACTATTGGACCAGGTTGCTGAAACACGCTATCCGGGGAGTTTGGTTGCAGGGGTGTGAGCTGTGGCTCCTGCTGCCGCGGAATGTGGTTGATGGACGGACATGGGGCTTGGTTCTTTGGCTGTGGTTGGGCTTGGGTTTATGTGGAAGGGTTTCTATGATACCTGACTTAGGATATTGGGAGAGGGGGATAAATAGTAGTGGACTGCTTGGTGGAGAGATATACTCGGTACCTCTGTACTGTACAGTGTGAAGGTTTCGGTGGCTAATTGCATATAGTATGCACATGGTGATTTCTGACTCTGGGTAGGTCGGTATTACTGCCACTTCAGTTAAGGTGAGATCAAGAAGGTGGGTTTTCTCTATTGTCATTCTTTTGCAGTACTGTACTGTACAGGCTGCAATAGTGGCGGGGGGATGCGAGTGAAATTGGGAAGGGCTATTAGGGCCCAGGTGCTGTACTGTGCGTATAGTTTTGTGAGATGCGCAAGGCTCTGTGAACGGAGGGTGCATTTGTGCAACTCTGGGCCCTACCCTGTCCCAAGGGCTCGGAATCGGGGTCCTTGAGATTTGATATCGTATCGTATCCCATGTGAGGAGTAATAGCAGGCTATGTTGTTTATTTGTATGTGGAGGGATATTGTGAATAGAATCGGTTATTTGTAGGAGAGCGCTAGTTCCACTGCGATTGTTCCGGAGAAACATAGAACCAGACATAGTACGGTCCGTTCGGTCAAGGGGCATCGAACTAAAAGGCATGTCAATATTATCTATCTTATGATCGCGGTCGCTATTCCAATCAAGTACATAGCCAAGTGGTACAGTGCAAAAGTACTGCACCGACAAGGTTCCAGATTATAAACCAGGGTTCGTTTCAAAGTGCCCGGGGGACGGCGAGAGCATGATGCGAGCGAGTTTCAGTCAGGGCTGATCGGGGGGACGGGGGAGAAAGGGAAAAGTTCATTTCGGGCGATCTTAGGTGAGCTCCATCTTTATGGCGGGACCTGGAGTTTATGCGGATTGCGGAATTGCAACCGGGTGGGATTTCGTTCTCGAAATCGTGATTCGCGGTTTGTATATTTGTGACCGTGGGTGGAGCTCCACGCAAGGAGAGATCTTCGCTGGGGCTTCTAGAAAAGGAGTGTGGCCGGAAAATGGAACAGAAGAACGAAGAGCTGCTCCGTTGTCTTAGGTTTAGTTCAGTTTAGTTGACAATTCAATTTACTTTGGATGTGCCAAGGGGACTCTTCTTTGTAGTGAGACAGCAATCCTGTAGTTACATTGGCGCATGGGATAAATTTTGACAGACGTCGGTATCCGTGGCAGGGGATCGCGAATCCCAAGGGTCGATGTCGAGAGCGGGAATCGAGAGAGGGGGAGATTCTTCCCGCTCACGAACCATGGATTGCTGAGATGAAGGCCTCTCTTTTCTCTAACACTCTTCGCTCTCCGGTCTGGACTCTCAGCCATCTGCTGGGTCGGATCGCTTCGTTTGACCCATTCGTAGTTTTTCACCCCCGCTGTCGTCGCTAGAGTATTTTGTAGAAGAACCGAAATTGCGGTGTGTGTGTGTGTGTGTGTGTGTGTGTGTGTGTGTGTGTGTGTGTGTGTGTGTGTGTGTGTGTGTGTGTGGTTTCGCAAAGATCGAAGTTGCCTCTCGTTGCCTCATTTCTATTCGGGTATTGTTAAGACCCATCATGGATCTTCTGAAGGCAAAAGGGCCGGTCGGCCACTGTGGTTCTTGACTTAAGTATTTATCCTACATTCTTCAGATCGGATGATCATATCAATCTGCGGTGTCCAGCAGATTATCGCAGGCGGACCGTTCGATCCCTCAATCATGACCCTGCGATCGCTGTCACCATCTGCATGCACACGGTCTTTCGATCTGATAGTGGGTTGCTTCAACGTCAACTCGCTGACAGGTGACTGTTCCATACGCACCTCAGAGCTGTCAGTTGCAGCTGCGCCAGTTCTTTTACCGAGTCCGGTGGTCTGGATGTGACTGACTCGAACGGTGGAGCCCGCAGACGCAGCGGCCGGCAAGCGAAACGAAACTGCCGCTGGCGGTCCATCTGCACGGGTGGCGATGGCGCTGTTCTCGCCAAAACCCTCACTTCAGCATGTCTGCTTGCTGGCAAAGTGGCGGGTGCGTTGCATTGCGCCCTTGTCAAAGTCAATGTCAAAATTGTCGTTCTTGATGCATGGAAGTTGCCCATGCAGTTCTCTGCTGACCAATGCGGCTGGCTAGTCTAACCCATAAAATGGGTCTGAGGGCGAACTGCTGCAAACCATGAAAGGAAATGACGATCATCCTCTGGCCCAAGACAGGGATGGCTGATCGATCGTCTATCTACTCCGTACAGGACTGGACTTTGACAGCCTGCCTCCGAATTGTGTGCATCTGATTAGCTGTCGTATGCGAGCTGCCAGATGATATGTCGCGATCTCAACCGATCATCTATGCTGTTCGACGCCTACCCGTATAGTACACACAGCAGAGGAAGACAGGCTGATAGAAGACGAGAACTCACCCGTCAATGGAAACAGGCACCGAAGCTACAAGAGTTCCCCTGATAAGCAAGCCGTCATTGGCGTGGGACCGACGGGACCCCCTCCCACCCCCTCTTTTGACCTCCCTGACAGAGACGGGAAAGGGGCATCGCTGTTCCTGACCTTGGTGCATCCGGTGTCCTCGACTTGGCCGTTCTGGTCATGTCTTGTCGAGTGGATACTGCGAAAATGCTGGCTATGATCTCCCTCACTGGACCAGTGTGGCTCAGGGTTTTGAGTTTGACTGGTTCTTCTTCATTATTCCGGCTGTTGGTTTGGCCTCATCGTCCCAATGGTTTCTCGCCGGAAAAGCCCCATTGTCGCGTGGTTGAGACTTTCGGGCCGACGATGCCTGGGGTTCTCTTGTTGGCTGATTCTCATACCAATGCAATCGCATTTCAGACTATAAACTGACCTGATTTCTTGTGTGATCCAGGATTCGTCAGGCCAAGTCAAAGGGTAAGAGTAACCGGTCGAGAGGTCTCTCCGCGCAACCAAGCTATAAGCTTCTCATCTCCCCGCACGGGCGCAAGGAACGGCCACCAGCGTGTAGCCTCGTCCAGAATAGAATTCGGCGGAAAATCGGGCAAGAGAAAGACGGATGCTTGTAGAACTTTTCATCTTGCCTATTGCACATTGCACATCACACTAGCAGAGCTGTAGTTTCCTGTACTTCCTGCTGTGAAGATGCAATTGACCCGAGCAGAACAATGACTGAAAGGAAGCACGAGGAAGTGGAGATGGGAAAATTAGTGCCACGGAACTAAAGAGCTTTAGAGCTTTAGTGGGTTGGCAAACCCACCGGCGCAGGAACAGGACCGGCTTTTCCACTTTCCGCAACCCCCTTTCATACTACGAGTACGGAGTATCAGGGTCAGGATTGACAAGCTTGCGCTTCTTCTGTCTCTCGAGAGTTTCTCTCTCTCTCTGTCTCTCTCTCTCTTACGCTCCTAGTTAATTTATTTTTCTTTCTTCCCTTTTTCTTTTTTTAAACCTTCTCTAACGGCCTTCCACCCGTCTTCATCCCCTCTCTCCCTCTCTTCTTACCTCTTTCTTTTCCTCACCTCTTCCTCCCTCCCTCCCTCCCTCTCTCTTCCCCTCACCCGAGGATCAGGTCTATTCCGTGTCAACACTACCGCCACCACCACCACCACCCCCAACCGACCCAACCCCCAGGGGATAGAGACAAGAGAAACCTTGCCTCGAGTCCACTCAATAAATTACTTACATACACACATGTCTGACCTTTGAGAAGACGTGCTGTATCACCCACCTGGGAAATGTCCATCAATTGAGTGTGTGTGAGCAGTAGCTGTGACCGAATTGTCCGATCTCTCTTTATCATTATCACCAATCGCCTGTTTCCCCCCTGTTCGGTTGTTGTCTTTCCTTCGGCTTCATTTTATCCCGACTGCTAGCAGTGCTATCTTCAGCTCGTTCTTGGTCATCTTCTCGACTCCATTGCGAGCTTTCATTCCTTCCCCCCCCCCCCCCCCCCCCCATTAAACTGCTCTGTTTCTCGCAGTCCCGTCAGATCTCTCAGAATCCGTGGTTCGAGAGAACTTGCCACACCCAAAAACAGGATCACCCAATCGACCTCGCACATATCCGAGGACCAATTCATCACTCTGCCGACATAAGTACATAAACAATCTCCCCGACCGTCATTATGGGCCCGTCTCTGAGAGACCCTGCGTCTTTCGTCCGCCCATCTACCCGCGATCGGCCTTCAACGCGCGACCAAGGAGAAAACTCGCTGGTCGTCCCCAGTCGCACCTCCTCGCTTCATTCCCGCATCACTCAACCAATCCCTTCCCAGATGAGCTCGAAACCCGCCGCCCAACGGACCCCCAAGACTCTCACCCATGCCTACATGGTTTGCGGTGTGGGTCGCGAGCCCTCTCAATGGGTTCGCGCCCCCGCCCCCGCCCAGGGCAAGATCGCCCACATGAAGGGAGCCGTCAGTCAGTTCTGGTTGCCTGAGATCCTGGGGAGCAGCCCCCGCTTGGAACAGGATAACGAGATCGCTAAGTCCTTGCATGCGGCGATGAGGGTATGTCATGGCCCCTGTGTTTTGTCAGATGCTGTCACAAATCGAAGTTGCATGTTGCTGACATGATCTAGGCTTGTTTCCCCCACGATGTCGAGATTTGCACCGGCAAGACCCAGCCTCACTGTGTGCACCATGCTTTTGTTCTGCAACAAGATTCCTCCCACACACTCTATGGAATTGCTTTGCGGGTTTGGTCTCGCGCCGACGATAAACGCGCCGAAACTATCCGGGAGTTGCGGAAGAAAACCGAACAGGATTTCTATGACAACCCAGAGGAGACCTACTGGATCCCCTACTGCCTGAGCTTCCTTTCTCGCTACCCTCTGTACGACCTTCTAGGTGACTACCTGCGTGGCATGTGGATCCATTGGAATAAGGCGACCAATTTGTTCCATGCTGAAGAGGTCTCGCGCATCCTAAGCTTCCCCGCCCCCCGCCTCAACGATCTGGTTCGTATCGACATGAAGGACTATGCGCTTTGCTACCAGTTTCCCTCGTCTCCCACGGGCTTCCAAAACTTCTCCATGTGGCCCCTGTTCACCTGTCTGTCCATTCCCAACATCGTTGGAGTCATTGAGGCTGCTGTCTCACCCACTCGCCGGATTATCTTCGTCAGTCACTACCCGGCTATGCTCACAATGGCCGCTGAGACTATTCGGTACTGCGTTCGCATCTACGAATGGAGCGGTCTCTACGTGCCTATGGTTCATGCCCGTCATGTCAAGGACTTGGTCCAGGAACCCGGCCCGTACATTCTGGGTATCACCGCTGAGTGCCGCTCTCTTTTCAACGCTCCTTCAGATGCCTTGGTCATCGACCTCGACCGAAACTTCGTCTTGACTTCGAGCCCCCCTAGCGTCCTGAGTCCCGGTCAGCGCACGAAGTTCATCAACCGATTGACTCAGGCTCTCAATGGTGATGTCTCGCCGTCCGGGGTGCCCAACCATCTCCGCTCCGCCTACGCAGGTGGTAAGCTCATCCCCGCTGGTCAGATCATTGTCATGCGAGGGGAGGTGGAAAGTGTTCAGGATCCCTCCTGGTGGAACCAAGATGCGATCATGGGTGTCATGGATCATGTGTGCGAGAAACTGGTTAGTATCCCTCCTTTCCACTTCTAGTTTGTGCATACTAAACAGTTGATCAGGGACGCAACACTGGCATGAAGGCTATCTTTGGTGGCTCAGTCAAGAAGCCCTTGATGACAAAGGTCTCTATGAGACATTTGAACGAGATTGTCCGCGAGAGAAACCAATACTCTCGCGATGCTATGGAGGCCTGGCAAGATTTCATTAACCTGAAGGGCCGTATGGACACGGAATTGACCAAGGTCACTAAGCGCAACAACTTCTTGGTTGAGGAGCTGGAGACTTGGAAGCAACAGGTATGTCATTGCAAGGATTTTTCGGTTGTGAACAGCGTTCTAACTTCGTGCAGTTCCTCAAGTTCCAGGCCTTCGCCGAACAGTTGACCAAGGAGACCTCTGAGCTCAAGGTCAAGATTGAGAATCACAAGCGCGAAAACCGTCGTCTCACTGGTCTCATTGACCAGCAGAAGGATGATGTGGCTCGTCTCACACTGCGCCTGTCCGGCACAGAGAAGCAGCGCGACGATGCACTTGAGGCGTTGGTTCTGCAACAAGAAATTGCGGAGGAATTGGAGCGTGAGCGGAAGCGTAACCAAAAGGAGCTCGCTTCACTGCAGCACAGCAACGCGTCTCTAGCTCGGCAGCGGGATGATGCGCAGCGGGTGGTCCTGCACCTCCGCAGCCTTATCAATGGCCAGACCCACCACATGGAGCATATCGTTCGCTCGATTGGCAGCTCTGCCGAACTGTCCGGGCTCGCTGAAAAGGAGACCTTTGAGGAGACCAAGGAGGACGAGGTCGAAACCCCTAAGGAACCTGCCAGCTCGCGCTCGTTTGCTACGGAGCCCGTAAAGGCTCCTAGCAGCGAGCCGAGCTCGGATCTGGAGCAGCATCTCCTGAACATCGGTAAAGGGCACAATCGTCTCGCTCGTTTAAGTATAACTGATGTTGCAGATCGCTACCTGCGCGACAAGACCGATGCCATTTCGGACATTATCCGCAGCATCAGCGAGCAGTGCGCCGCCGCTGTGGAGGGTCTGCAACTGGCACAGGACGCGGAGGAGGATGACATCGATGACCATGGTCGGACAACTCCGTCCGGTAACCGCCTGATGCCCAGAACGCACGATGGACTTTTGACTCCTGCGGGTAGCGAGATGGGGGACGGTGACAATAACTCGTTGCACCCGAATGACTGCCATTCCAGCGTTCCCCCAACGCCGGACCTAGTTCACAACCGGTCAAGCACTTCGATGTCAATGATCAGTAGCTCGACGTTCCCGGAGAGGTCGAGTCAGCAGTATGGGGTCAGTGAGATCCCTACCCGGATAGTCGAGGACAACGATGAACGTGCCCATGAGACGGCGGGCTTTGACGAGCACTCTGAACCTGGCACTCTGTCGAAGCAGGCGAGCGGAGACCTCATGCAATCCAGCACTTCCAGATTGGTTATGTAATCGTGCATTGTCTTTGCGATACCCTGCTCCAACGATCCGTGACATGACATCTGCTCTTATACTGTCCCAACTGATTCAGAGCGAATTAGCCACGTTTTGGCCTTTTCTTTTTTCTCCTTGCTTTTAATCTTTTTCTTGGGGACCTCATGGATATTGGCTCCATTTGATCCAGTTAGGACATATGTCCCATGATTTTCTGCACAGGTGTTGATCTCTTTTCTTCTGGAAGATTTTTCTTGGACCCATGCCATTGCTTTCTTGGCCTTTTATTCTTGGGGCCCCTTGATGTCTTGGGTTGCTGTCTCTTTCCTTTGCCGGTTCTATACCACTTTCGATTCTTGGGATCTATCCCTATCCCCCGCCTTGTAGTAGATCACCTTGGCACTCTGTAACGGAGCCGACCCTTCATTCGCTCGATTTTCCTATTGTGTCACCTTTGTGTTTCCCATTTGTTATATGTCCAATTCTCTGGAGAAGGCTGCTTGAAGCTGCCACGTGGAGTCCGTTATATATGGATTAGCCGTGCCTTTCTACCGTGCAGCTAGTGCTGTACGAAATCATCTCACATTAATTGAACGGGTTATTAAAAGTACTTATCACAACCAGCCACCCATTCCAATGCCTTCCGTCGAGCACTGTAACCAAACCGTGCGTTCTGTTGTTAGGCCAACTTCCCTGGCACGAACGGGTGTCCAGCACTCAGTCCGCCACAAACCGCCCAGGCCTGCCCGTTGACGTAGCTGGCCTCGTCACTGCCCAAGAACAGGGCGACGCGCGCGACCTCGTCGGCGATGGCCCCGCGCTGCAAGGGGTTCAGCTGGCCGAGCTTGCGCTGGGTGCCGCGGGCGCGCGCGGCGTCGAACATCTGCTGCGTCATGCCCGTCTCGATCAAGCCTGGGCAGATGGCGTTGACGCGGATGCCCGTCCCCGTCAGCTGGAAGGCGGCCGTCTGCGCGATGCTGACCACCGCCGCCTTGGAGGCCGAGTAATCCGTCGAGCCCCCGTTGGACCGCAGGCCCGCCACCGAGGCCGTGCAGATGATCGAGCCCCCGGGGTAGGGCTTGGCGGCGGACGTCTGTTGCATCGCGGTAGAGGCGTACTTGACGGCCAGAAACACCCTACCAGAGGAAATGTGTCAGTGTCGGTGTCAGTGTCAGCGTCAGTGTCAGATATCCTCTCAACGCTTCTTGTGCGATAGACAGCCTCTCATGCCACTCTGCCACTCTCCAATTTCCAGGAAGGGGCCACGCACCCCACCGTATTCACCCGCAGCGTCTCCGCAAACTCCTCCGCCGTGATCTGCGTCAGCAGCTTCTGCTGGCCCACGACCCCCGCGTTCGCGAAGAAGATGTCCAGCCGGCCGTGCGCCCGCAGCGCCTCCTCCACCACCGCCTGCACGGCGCCTTCCGAGGCCGCGTCGAACCGCCGCACGTACACCTTGGTGGCCGGGTACAGGGACTCGATCTCCCGCCGGTGCGTTGCGAGGTGCGTGTCGACGAAGTCGCATAGGTAGATCGCTGCCGCGCCGTTGTGGGCGTATTGGTGCGCTGTGGCGCGGCCGATGCCCGTGGGGGAGTTGGCGCCTTTTTGGGGTTAGTTTTTGGGGTTTGGGGGTTTAGATTGGAGTTGGTTTGGGGGGTAAGTTGGTTTGGGGAGGTGATTTGGTGTTTGGTAGTTTACGTATGCGGTGAACCATGCATGTTGTATAGATGGGCACTTACCGGTGACGATAGCGACTTTGTCCTTTACCCGACTATAATCAAGAGGTTAGTTATTTGTTTGACAAACAGATAGTCAGGGGGTACTCACGGTCCCACGGAATCAGGGGCAATGGATCGGATTCGGGGAATATCCTCGAAGGTCCCGGCGTCGGGGATGCCTTCGACCAGCTGCTGGCTGAGAGCTTGGAGGCGGCGTTTGGCGTTGCCGGACATGGTTATGATGTGATTGCTTCTGAAAGTAAAGAAGATGAAAGATAATTTAAGTGAGATCTGAGCTTACTATCCCACAATGTCAGTTCTATGGTTAATTCAAATACGAGAAAGGGGGAGTCTCCGTCTTATACTCCTCCAAATTGTTCCCCGCGGCAGTTCCGCTTACATTTTGCGGAGAACCGAGGCTGGGACGGAGCTGGTCAGGTGACTTGGATCACCAGCTTATGTCAGCAGTCACATGGGTTGCTGCGGCCACACGTCATGGCCGGGCAGAAATGCCATTCCGCTTTGGAATGCTGCTGCTTCTCTGCTGCTGGCCCGCGCCTGAATCCTCTCGTTGCCCCGTCCCTGTTTTTTTTCTTCTGCACTTTTCGACCTCTCGCTTCCATTATCTGAGGCGGTCTACACCGTGGTCTGTAGCTCACTGTGCAGATCTGCTAGCACTTACTCCGGTTACGACATCATTCACTCTCCTACAAATGAAAAATCCCGCGAAGGCAGCACCACTGCACAGCTGCTACAGTTGCACGAGACCTGACCACCGTCGCCAAACACCACTTTAAAACCAGCCACACCACGTCCCCTGCCTGAATTTATTTCATGAATCTGTTCATGATCTGTCTAAATTGAATTAGAAACCGCACAGAACGCGAAACAAAAAAAGTCTACATGAAGACCACAGATCTGCAGCCCTCCTCTCGTGTTCACCGCCCTAACAGCCATGGCGGAGTGCGATATACCCACGGCACCAACACCACCGGCCCCAGTACCGCGTCGTTCGTCCTCGCGGACCTCCTCCTCTTCCCGACACAGCCAGAAGGCTAGAACCGTCCGAGCCCGCTCCCAGAAGCGTCATTCCGCCGCCTCCTCCAACGCGACCACCACGGACCTCACCTCCTTCCCATCCCTTTCTCCGCCAGACCGCTCCGTGGACGGCTTCCTCGGCCAGCCGGCCCTCAATCGCGCCCTGACAAATGCCCTGCTGGAGGATCGGGATGTCCATAGCATCAACGACTTCTTACACTCGGCGGGGGAGAACAACAACGCCACCACAACCACCACGCGGGATCGGCGAGCTGCCCTGGCCAAATTGACGAGCTCCTCGACCACCACCAGCGCGTCCGGACGTGCCGCCCTCTTCGGGGACTCGGTACCTATCCGGGACTTCCCCGGGGCTCTCCACCTGGCGGACGATGCGCACATTGAACGGCTGATCGCCACCACGGGCGCGGTCAAGCTGGTGCGGCAGTTCGCGCGGGACCTGGCGCAGCGGGATGCGGAGATCTCGGCGCTCCGCCAGCGGGCGGACGCGCGGGAGCGCGAGCTGAAGCGCATGCTCCGCGAGGTCTCCGTCTCAAACCAGGATATCGAGCGGCGGCTGTATTTGCTGGAGCACATCCCCTTGAACCCCGAGGGGGCGAGGGGCAAGGAGAACAGGGGGGCGAGTGCGGAGCAGTCCGGGAGCTCGTCGTCGAGCGTGCATGGGCTGATGCAGCAGGCGATGGACGATGGGGTGGGGATGTCGCACGGAGCGGAGGATCTCGGTGGGGCGGAGAACAATGGGGTGAATCCGGCGCAGCAGGCGACGGTGCGCGCGCCGCAGCGGTCGCTCGAGAGTGACGCGCGCTCGGGCCACTCGAGTCTCGACTCCAACTCGAACCGCAAGAGACAAAGCTCGATCCGGAGCTGGGGCGATTTCATCTTCGGCGGGACGCTGGGGAGTCGGAAGACGAGTCGCGCCAGCAGTGTGATGAGCGGAGCCGAGGAGGAGACGCAGCGGCCTCGAAACGCGAGCAACCCGTCGGCGGGGCGCCGCAAAGCTCTCGATGACCAGTTGTTTCAACCCCCCGACGACCAACAACAAAGTGGCTTGGGGGCCGGCGAGGTCGTTGGACGGCGCCTCGCGGCCGCCAACGGCGATGACGCCAGTGTCCATTCGCGCAAATCCTCGAAGTCGCTGTCCTCATGGACGGTCAAGCTGTTTGCCGGAAACACCCAACCGAGCAAGGACGACGCGAATGCGGAAAACTCCCGTGGAAGAGCTATGTCGGCCCACCGCGAAGCGAATAAGCCTGCGTCACCTGCCATTTCAGCGGTGGCGGCGCTGAAGCGGATCAACAGCAACGTCAACATCCAAGGTGCTCCAGGACGATCCCCTGGATCGGGTGCCTTAGCGAAAGCCAGCCAGGCCGGCCGGAGACAAGGGTCGGCAAGCGTTTCACAGGGTGCAAGCTCCGAGGCTGCAAGTAAAAATGCCACCAATCTGGGCCCCGTGGAGATGGATGCGATCTTGCCGCTGGAGGATCGACCTCCGACGCTTGCGAACATTTACAACAATTACCAGTCGGGAGATTTACTGACGGACCGGTTCGGGTTCATCTACGACCAAAGCCGGAAGAGGCGGCAGAGGGAAGCCAGCGATCTGAAACGGGGTGGGCCGGCAGGTAACCGGCTTAGTATCGCGGAGACTCTAGACAGCCTCCGCACTGATACCTCAGACGGCGATGATGGCTCCGACTATCGAAATTTGTTGCAGGCTACCACTGGCAGCGAATCATCTCCAGCATCCGTATCCCCCAGAAACGCCGAAGCTGGTGCTATTGCGGTTGGGCGATGGCAGGACTATCTGGTGGTTCCGACGGCGCCGACTGAACTGCTTTCGCACACCCCCTCCGCTGGTCCCATCATCTCTTTGACTACTGCGGGTGACACTCAGCCGCGCAGCACTGCAGTAGCTGTCGACAAACGTGGGTCCGTCTCGGTCACCCCAAACGCCCAGCCATCTGCATCTACCTCAGCGGTGATTGCCGATCGCCCTGAGTTCGCCGGGCTGTCCTCCGACGAGACTGCCGCGCTGGCTGCCAACGAGAACGAACCGGTCAAGTTACTGCTAGAGCAGCTGACCGAGCTTCACGATTCTCTGCAGCGAGAAAGAACGGTGAGATGGAACGAGTTTCTGCGCAAAGTGCGTGCCGAACGCCGCAAGGATGGGGAAGCCGCTGCGGCCGCGGCCGCGGCCTCGGACCGCCCTTTGCAGTCTGTCGATACACCCGAGGCGTCCCTAGCGGACGGCGAAATGGTGGGTATATCTGGTCTGGGCAACAAAGGCAAGGTCGGTCGTGCTAAATGGCGGGAGTTCCGGGCCCTCGTGCTGGGTGGGATTCCCGTCGCGCTTCGAGCCAAGATCTGGTCTGAATGCAGCGGTGCGTCTTCGATGCGGGTGCCCGGTTACTATGATGATCTCGTCCGGGGCGTTGGTGGGAGTGATCCCGACCCTTCGGTCGTGTCGCAGATCGAGATGGATATCAACCGCACCCTGACGGACAATGTCTTCTTCCGCAAAGGCCCGGGGGTGGAGAAGCTCAAGGAGGTCCTGCTCGCATATTCTCGCCGCAACCCGGAGGTTGGATACTGTCAAGGAATGAACCTCATTACCGCCTCTCTGCTGCTTGTCACACCTACGGCCGAGGACACCTTCTGGCTTCTGGCGTCCATGATCGAGGTCATCCTGCCGGAGCATTATTACGACCATGGCCTGCTAGCGTCTCGCGCGGATCAAGTAGTTCTGCGGCGTTACATCTCGGAAGTCCTGCCCAAGCTATCTGCGCACCTCGAAAGCCTGAATGTCGAGCTGGAGGCTTTGACATTTCAGTGGTTCCTTTCCGTCTTCACTGACTGTCTCTCTGCAGAAGCACTCTACCGGGTGTGGGATGTTGTCCTATGCCTTAACGTGACCAGCTCATTCACCCCCACGAATGCGTCGTCATCCCGCGACGGCAATGATACCAACTCGAGCACCACGAACAATGTCTCCTCGAGCAGCGGCAGTGGCGGCGGCAGCACGTTTTTGTTCCAGGTTGCTCTCGCCCTGCTGAAACTGAACGAACAGCAACTGCTCACGACCTGTTCCACGCCCGCCGAGCTCTACACGTACATCAACCACCAGATGACCAACCACGCCATCAGCATCGACGGCCTCATCCAAGCCAGCGACGCGCTGCGTAACGTCGTCCGTCGCGAGGAAGTGGTGGCCCGGCGAGCCGATGCCCTCCGTGAGATGCAGGAATTCCCTGCGGGTCGGCCATCTTCTATTGCCGAAGATGGTGGTACTGGTCCTCAAGAAGCATAGCCATACACCCCACGCCTTACCTTCTGTAACACTCCATCTTAGTTCGAATTGCATCACGTGCTTCAAGCCAGCCACGAAAAAAGCAGGGCACTTTGCCATGCTGTCTTTGGGGCTCAGCACTACATTTTGCGTTTCTGTCTCAACCTGCCTACTCCTTTCCTGCACTGCTCGATACCACCATTAGAGATACGACTTTCATTTACGACCCCCCGCCTCTACTTGCATCGCTCCATAGATTGGCCTTGTCCTTTTGCGTTTTGCACGTGGCGTTCGTCTCATGTGGAAAGGCAACTTTGAGTTTATTGATTTCACGAAGTTGATATGACCGATGCTTTGCTTTGTACTCATCATAGACCCTTCCGCCTAACAACTTATACCACTCTTTTCTTTTTTTTATTACTTGCATGAAATTCAGCAGATGCATGGCCCGGTGACTTGGCTTGATTTTACTTGACTTGACTTGAATTGACTTGAATTGAAGAATACGAATACCCCCATTCCCATCCCCATTCCCATTCCTTTCCCTAGCTTCGAGGACTTGCTTTCTGGAATTGGATCAAGGTTTATGTATTCGCTCGTTGCACCGCTGCTAGCCTCTGTTTTGGTGATGATGATGGTGATGGTGATGGTGGGATGGGATGTAGGAGCTAGGGTACTCAGCAGTTGCCCCCGGGGGGGGGGGGGGAGCGGGGCTTGGTGGGAGGGTGGGGTGGGATTGTACAGTAAGTTCAGTACAGTACACTATACATCGACTTATCTTTCCATCAGTGAGAATCCAAGGCATCATTACCGGTATTCCCTCGGAAACAACCTAGGCGTGACTGCTGGCCTATTTAGGAATATTTCATGGATGCATCAAGCCCGCAATGCGTGCGCTTTGCGTACGTACACAGCAGAGCAAGTGGAACGCTAGACAGGGTATCTCAAGATTTACTACGAATTCAGTTTAGGAGAGGAGAGATAGCAAGATGCCTCCTCGATCTCCGAGCCGTCTCCGCGCAGTCCGGCTGCGCGGGCGTGTTCAGAAGGCAGGGAAGGGTAGACGGTCTAGCGGGCAGCGAGTCACGGTCACGGTCGCTCACGGCAGGGGTTATCGTCGGTTGTGGTGGTGGTGGTGGTGGTGGTGGTCGAAGTGGATTTATCACCCGCGGGACGACTATACGGGGACGAGTTGTGTTATTGGTAGGGGGGTTGCGATTCGCGGGCGTGTAGGTGTAGGGTTTCGCGCGTTGGCGCCGCTGGTGGGATTCCTGGTTCGGAGTGTAGATCGTCTTCAGGATGTGGGTCATCTTCAGGATGTAGATCGTGTGCAGGAGATGATGTTGGACTTCCAGGCGAGGACTCCTGGTCACGAGCTGCTTCATCTCCAAGAGACGTCCCATGCATGCACCGCAGTTCGGAGCCGGGTCTCCGGTCCCCAGGGTGAATAACACCATCAGGGCTTTTCTCGCTAGCTAGAGCAACGTCAGCTACGCTACCAACCACAGAACCAAACCTCCAGCCCACTAGTCCGAAGCAGCGGCCAACTCACCAGCCACAACAAACCAAACCGCGCCCGTATCCGAATGCATCAACGCAAACAAGGCGCGCAGCCACGCCTCCTCCCCCTCCACCACCGCGCCAATCTCCTCCCTCAGCCCCCTCACCGCCACATTCATGCTCTCCGCCTCCGGCCACAGCGGCTGAAGCACATCCCTGTCCCGACGGTAGTGGACCCCTCTTGCCTCGGATCTTCTCCAAGAACGCACCGTACATGCCCTGCAGCAGCCGACAAACCACCCTGCCCCCGTCCCCATCGTCCGTATAATAATACCGCCAGTTGGACTGGTGGCGGGTTTCCGGCTTCCCGGCGCGCCGCGCGTTGGTCTCCACAGAATGTTTGCTGATCACGTTCGCGGGCGGCTCGGTGAAGGTCCCGAGCTCCTTCGCGGCGGCGTGGGCGGGCAGGGCCAGGCGGCGCTGGCGGCAGCGCGCCTGGAGGTCGCCTTTCAGTTTCATCATGTCCCGGAAGAGGTAGAGCATGCAGTTGGCTTTGTCGGCGGCGTAGGCCGAGCGGATGAACGGCGGGAGTTGTGGGAGGCGGTCCGTGAGTTGGTCCTCGAGGCGCATGCGAATGCGTAGGTGTCTGATCGGCTTTGTGAGGTGGTTTGCGTCGACGAGGATCTGGTGGAGTACATCGTCCACCACGAGCCAGTCCAAGTAGTTGCCCTCGGGCAAGGCGTCGTGGAGTTCCGTCACTGTGAGGTTCCCCATTTTGGGGGGGGGATGCTGCAACTAATTGTGGTTGGCCTGGGTGGTTCTGGATTTGTCACGAGTGGGCGTGGGTAGCCATACTGAAAAGAACGTGAGGAACGTTGAGCGTAGCTCCAAGTGTAGATGTTGGAGAAAACTACCTGAAATCATGGAATGGAATTTTGTGGATAGTGGATACGCACCCGCAGTGGAGATCGACAGAAGGCTAAAAAAAACCTAGTACGGCGGAGGATTCCCCGGACTTGCGGTTAACTAATCTACCAGAAGTTAATGTCAGTTATTAGCGTTCCTCTTCAGATGCTATTTGGTGACCAAACATGGTAATAATAGACAGGTAATTCCCAGTACTCAGGAAGAAATATGTAAAAGACATGCATTTTAGGCAGGTCCCGTAGGACCAGAAAACGGAATTCGCGACTCAATAATTCAAACGAAAAATATGTGTAGCTCTGCTGCTTGGCAGGCTTAAATCCGAAGCGTCCAAAGTCAATACATCAGCCCCGGATGTAGGGAAGCTCGCAAGAAAATCTCGGTGTCGAGGTGAATCAACACAATCGCATCGTCATCATCCATCATCTCGGCATATCCTGGCATGTAACACACCATAACAAATCATCAGTCTTCAGTAGGTCGGGCCCAGTTTCATACATTCTGGGGCAGTCAGGGGAAGGGGTATCATCGTTGCAATGGTCAAGAATATCAACAGGGGATTTTAGGGAGAAGGCGCTGGAAGGGCTGGTGCTGATATATTCTTTTATGAGAAAACAATAGGCATGACGTCTCCCACAGTTGAGGAACACCACACAGGTGATGCGCCGAACTCGGATTCTTCAGCGAGGCAGCATGTCGGGCATCCAAAAGCGGCCATTATCCAAAACACTGTTGAGATCGATCTGGTCCATATTGGGTCGGAGCCCGAGGTCCATCACGTCACGCGCAACCGCCTTGATCTGCCGCATGATGCTCTGGGAGATGGCCCACGTGCGGGCCAGAGTCTTGAACACGCCGATCGTCAGTGTAAGCCGGTCCCGACTGGGGTCGGGCATCTGGCCGGCTTTCACCGAGCAGGCGGCAAGCTGCACCATGGAGCTCAAAACCAACGTGCAGATGAAGAACGGGGTGTGTTTGACCACGGGCATCCTAATGGATGCCAACGTCGAGATTTCGCTGGCGGCTTTGACGGCCTTCATGGCATGGGCATGGTGCGAGAAGGCCGGGATGCTCAGCGGCCCATGGTGACCGCAGATCACCTCCGCGGCCACAGCGGGAGACGATAGCAGGTCCGAGCGCGGGAAGTGCAGGTAGATAGACGACCCGTTGACGACCATAGTCGCCTGGAACATCATCTCATCCACTGAGCCATCAGGACGCAGAAGCTCAGCCTTCGACTCGGGCAAATGATGGAACCAGCTAGTAATCCGGGCGTCGGTAGCTTCAACCTGGTCCTGCTGGCCTTCGACCATATCTTGAATGGCCACCACCCGCCCTAAGATCCGAGCCGCTTCGATGCGGTAGGTATAGGAGGAGAAATCCCGTTCTTCATCAGCGAACGCCCGCTCATCGAACTGTGCAATCGTCAATGGGGGCGGGGGAGCCAGTCCATCCTGATAAATCCTCTCCTCGCACGGTAGTGGCACCTCCAAAGGCACGGTGTTGCAACGGTATTGCGGCTGAACACCGAGGGCAGTCAGCATTGCTTCAATGATGAACAACTCCCACCAGGTTCGTCTCAGACTCTCCTCCCGCACCGGATCCCCCTCTCCCATGGTCTGGGCGAAGTGTCGGGTGTGCAGCCCCAGCTCAAAAGCCAGGTCCACGGCCATGGCGATGCACACTCCGGCATCAGCTCGCTCGTTCCGCGAATGAAGAACAATGGCCAGAAGCAACAGCGCCTGAACCTTCTCCACCGAAGGATCTTGTTCCATGACAGACGACATGACCGTCGGCCTGTATGTGTCACTGGACGCTGCGGGGGTGAAGTGAGTGCCAATGAACTTGATCACATGTTCCAGGAAAGGTGGGACATGAGACCGATACAAGGTCCGGAATGGGAGCAGGATGGGGTGGGAGGGGTGAAAGTAAGTGTAGTAAATGTCAATGAGGTAATTATCACCAGGATTGGAAGAATACGAGTCCGGGGTGAGAGGGCTGTGAGCCGCGCGAAGAGGCTGCGACGAGACCGAGCCATCGGTCGTCAGTTCGGGGCTGGTCGTCGGAAGGGAAGGCGGCAACGTGCTGGTGCTGGGTAGCGGCGTCGTCACTGGCATGAGAGGCATGTTCCCGGGAAGAACCCATTCGGAGGGGACATTGTAGAACGGCTGGGCCTCAAAGGAAGCCGATAGGTCGGTGGGGAGTTGATCGGGGGAGGACGGGTTGGCTCGGCGTTTCTTTGACGGGCCTTTGTAGCCGCGACGCGACGGGGTGTATTGGCACTCGGCGCCCGTGGCTGCACAGCGGCCACAGACGGGTGTGTTGCCATCACATTTGAGATGCTTGTGTCGGCATAGCAAGCAGGCGAGGAGTGAAGGCCCGGCGTTTTTGGGCGGGTTGGGAGGTTTGGCCGTCACAAATGGGTTGATTCCCTGGTCCATGGTGGCAGGCAGACTGTCATAGATTGATTAACACGGGGACATCAATGTTTTGCGATGCAGCTCTCCCCCTTAAGCTACCCAACAATCAAGAAACACATCAAGGTGCATAGATAATGGGTAGGAGCTGTCTTGAAGAGCGCAAAGCCAGAGCGTTGAGGCAAAGCCGGGATCTGGATAGAGCGGGGAGAGCCGCTGTCTGGAATTCTGGGGGG